GAGGACGTAGAGATCAATTTCACCTCCTCGTCGCCTTTCCCTTCTGTTCTTGTGCTTCCTTCCATCCCTCCGTTGACCTCCTGCGAGGAGTGAGGACAACGACTAGGAGAGAGAAGAAGCAGCGATGGTGCGGAGTGAGAGAAACGTGGGTATGGAGCAGGACGATGAGAACGATGGAAGGTGAGTTTCAAGCAGAAGAAGAAGAAGAAGAAGAAGATAGGAGGAGATATAGAGAGGGGTAGGCGGAAGAGGAGGACAAGGAAAAGGACCAAAACGAGGACGAGGATAAGGACGAGGATAAGGACAAATATTCTTGCCTGAAAGATTGAGATGCCTGGCTGAGCTTGCTTGCTCGCGCTGCTGGCATGCTGGGAATCAGCCTTGTGCTCCTTGGCTTCAGCCTTTTGTTCTCCGTCCTTGCCGCTGCTGCAGTTGTAGGCGAAGTAAGCGAAGTTGAGGAAGTGAAGCTCGTCCATGAAACCCAACTTGACGCTTCCTCCTTTCTTGGCGTTCAGCTCGCTGCGCATGACGTCGTACAGGCGCTGGAGGTCCTTGGAGTTCTGAGTGATCCACATTTGCATCTTGCACTTCCTCGCGCTGGACTTGGAGGGGTCGAAGAGGGGAGAGGCCTGCCCCTCATGCCAGCTCCTCCTGTGAATCCCAATGAGCATGGAGTAGTCGAGCACATTCTGCTGCGCGAGGAAACGAGCATCGCGCTCGATCTGCGTCTTGAGCCTCTCGGAGAGAAGCGAGGACACGCGGAGGTGCCGTCCTGTCTCGATGAAGTCGATGTCTCGGTGCACTATGCCAGGCGTCCCCCTCTTCCTTCCCACCGTCCTCTTGAACGTGCTGCCCTTGAGGTCAAACCGTTCGTGGATGGGCAGGCTGGTGTTGAAGACGTTGGCGAGGACGACCAGGTGGTACCTGATCCCTTCGTGCACTAGGTCGAACTGGCCGAGGATGCGCATCAGGAGCGTGTTTGGGTTCTCCTTCACGTACTCGTAGTACGCTGGCAGCATCGAACGCATCGCATCCCCTTCCTCCCTGCTCACCGTCTTCACCATGAACTTCCCGTCGTGGGAGTAGTAGAAGAGACTTCCGCTCCTCCCCTCGCTCACCCTCTCCGCCACGTTTCTCATGTCCCCCAGAAGCAGCCCCCCGATCACTTGCTTGATCCCCAAGGACGCCAGGAACGCGTCGTCGCTGACCCCGAACGCCTTGCGGATGTCACGGTAGAGCGAGGCCCCGTAGGAGGTGATTGACGAGTTGCTCCTCATCCTCTGGGGGCCCTTGAGCGAGCGAGGGAGACATTCGTCGTTGTAGCAGGTGCGGAGGAAGCGAGGAATCTCATACGTTGTCGCCTGCACCTCCGTCTCGTTCGTCTTCTCCTCCGATACGCACCCGAAGCAAGCCAGCAGGCCTCCCAGCAATCCCCTGCTCTTGCCCTCTCCTCCCTTCCCCGGAGTGTCCGAGCACATCCCATCCACATCCCCCACGATTTGCCCCCCCTCCTCCCCCTCCGCGCCTGCCCCTCCCTCCTCCTCCTCCTGCACCACACTCTTCTCCGCCCTTTCTCCCTCCTTCCTCGGCTTCTCCTGCTCAGCCTGCACGGGGGGGGGGGACATGAAGCTCTTGAGCACAACAGTCTTCAACGTCTCCAGCGGCGACTGGTTGCGAGGAGGCTCAGCCTTGCTAGGGCCAGGCTCGGATACGCTCGCCTCCTCCGTCCTGTTGAGCTGGACCTCGGGCTCGATGGCGATCTGGAGCCCGAGCATGAGGGTGAGGATGAAGTCGCACTTCCTCTGCTTCATCATGACGGCCTGTCCCATCCTCAGCGCCACTCCTCCCGTCTTGAACAAGTTCACGTGCAGCCTCTTTCCTTTCTTCTTGTTCCCCCCGTAGTAGCCCTTCCGGTATGGCTGGTCGACGCCATGAACAAGGCTCATGACGTCAGCGCTCCCGAGGCAGCTCATCCGGTACTCATCCCACGACATCATGACCTCGTTCTTCTCATTGGACAAGCGCTGAGACGCTGAATCTTTCCCCGCAGTAGAGGACGAGGAGGACGAAGACGAGGGCGAGGAAGACGCCCGTGCGCGCTGGAACAGAGAAGCGACGAAGTCTCCCACGTACGGGTTCTTGTGGTCCAGCTCGAGGCCGGTGAGGGCCCAGAACATGAGGCGGATAAGCGCGAGGACCTCGTTCCTGGTGATGAAACCATCCCAGTCCATGTCGCACAGCTTGAAGCCCCACCGCAGCCGATCCTCGATCTCGTCCGACGTGATCATCAAGAGCCACTCGACGAACTCCGGGTACCCGATGCTCCCCGTCCTGTCCAGATCGATCGCCTCGAACATGAAGTGCAGGAGGCGGTCGAAGGAGTGCCGGCCCCGCAACATCTTCGAGTTCCACATAGTCTCACTACGGTCAGCCCCCATCAGCCGGAGGGCCTCCGCAAACTCAAGCTTGCTCAGCCTCCCGGTCCCGCTCTTGTGCAGCCGGCAGAACAGCACGAACGCCTCCTCTTCGATCAGCTCGAACCTTTGACCCCACGTTCGCACCAAGTTTTCACGCTCAGATATGGTAAGCTTCTTGACTTCCTTGGAGATCAACGAAGCGTTTGTAGAGGTAAGATTCTCACCGCCCCCTGCTCTGTCTGTCACGTTCCCTTGAGGCATCTGATGCTTCCTCCTCCTGAAGAGCATCATGGGGTCTGACAAGAGTAGTTGCCCCAGCTCCTGCATGCTCGTGTGCTTCCTGAGTGTCGTCTCGTTGCTTCCTGTTGAGATCGACTCGCGAAGGCGGAAGGGAGAAAAGGATCTGTCCTTGGCTGCTGCTCTTCTCATCATCATCTCATCCTTCCACTCGGCATCGAGCTCGTCCACCCTCGCCTGCATGGACATATTGGTCAAGTTCTTCCCATGCCGGAGGAGCAGCGCCACATTATGGTCCAGGGTTGCATCTCGATGCTTGAAGACTGGGCGAGACCGAGGAACGGTCATGGAGAAACACCCGCGAGGGTTGAAGATCCCAGAGCATGCGCATGGCATGCAAAGAACATAGGACAGCAACAGCAGACTGCCAGCCATGGTGCTGTAGCTGCAAAATGCCGCTCTGCCCTCCATCTTCACCACTGCTCTTCTCGTAACTTATGGATTAGAAATCTTTCTGTTATGTTCAGGACTGAGTAAGTGACACTCCTGATCGCACTCGTGCTTGATCGGTCCCTAGAGCTTGCTCTTAGAGCATAGCTCAACCACAGAGGAGAGAATATACACCTAAGATGTCAACAGATTGACTCGGCCAGTGTAAGAGGGAAAAGCTACAGCAGCGTTGTTCTTCCATCCATCAACCCCTTCTGCCTGCTTTCAGCTGCAGCTTGCAACTCCGCCCCCGCAAGCTTCCTTAGGTCATGGCATCAAACCCATTCCATTGCGATCCATTTCACTCCCTTCGAATGTCCCACAGCAGTCCTCTCATCAAACACTGCCGTTGTCGCTCAGTCCTCTGCGTCCCTCTTCTTCTCGCCTTTGTGCTCCACCTATCGTCAAGTAAGTGCTCCTTCTCTTCTCAGTTCAGTGCTCCTTCTCTTCTCTCTCCAGCACTCCTCGTCTCTCCTCCACAGCACTTCTCCTCTCCTCTCCTGCCTTGCATGCCTTGCCTCCCCCACTCGACATGCTGGCGGCCGCCGTGTATTGGAATAGATGGGGTGGGGGTGACTACCCTACCACACCAGCTCCAAGTAATTCCTACTCTAAATGTACCCCCTCTACCCCAATCGTGAAGGTACAAGTGGGTGTATATGGAACCCTATTGTTTCAAGGTCCAGAAGGGGGTACAGGTGCTTTGGAAAAGGCAGCTACGAGAAATAGGCCAGTGATTAGTAAGACAATTATAGAGGGTGGGGGTAATGACCCCCAGGGTATATTGCCATCTTTGTTTGCCCATAAAGGGGGGTAATGATCATATTCCACTCATAGAGGGGTGGGGGTCAGAATTCTCAGGGGAGCATGGTTTGCGACTCCAGCAGGGAGCAGGGAGCAGGGCAGACAGGAAGTGAGACGGAGGAGACGAGGAGAAGGACATGATGGAGGAAGGAACTGAAGGTGAGCAGGACCCAGGGAGGATAGTTTCCGAGGATGAAGAGGGCACCAGGACCAAGAAAGAGCGACAGGAGAGTACGGAAGAAACGCAGGATCCAATCTAGAACAGCTTGCTCGCTGCCTACCTGAGACAGTGGTTTTCTTGACCTGTAGATACTGAAGGTTGCGTCATGGTAACAGGAAAAACCAGGAGATGGCGGTGACTGGACGTTAGAAGATGTGCGATGCTGGTGGTGTGGACGGAGTTGAAGCCAGCTTCGATGCAAAACTGCACCAGCGATACTTCAGGAAGCTCCTGCAAGGTCTGGAAGCTCGCATGATGCCTCCACCTGCTGATGATGGTGCAGGCGCTCCCGGATCGCTGCAAGGGCTGGACAGCAACCGATGCACCATCGCGTACTTTTGTGTCTCGGGCCTTGACGTGCTCAATGCACTCACGGGGGAAGACAAGGAGCAAGTTTGCGGGTGGATGATACGGTTGCTCATCGACAATGGTCTGATCGCCTCTGCTTAGGAGGGATGATACTGACAAAGCTTGTCCTGGCAGAGCCCGGGGGGTTTCGAGGTTCTACTTTCTTCAGATCTGACGCCGACATCTGTAAGCTCTGGGACCTGGGGCATCTTGCCATGTCGTACACGGCTCTTGCCACGCTTGTCATCTGTGACTACAACATCCAAACCCTCGATCGCAAGGGGATTCAACAGATGGTTCGCAATTGTCAAGGAGAGGATGGGAGTTTCTGTGAGAACTCAAGTCAAGCACCGCTTCTTGACTCACATGCCAGGTGCACACCACGGCGGGGAGGCTGACCTTAGGTTCTCGTACTGCGCTGCTGCCATCTGCTTCATGCTGGGCGACTTCTCCTGCATTGATCGCGAGAGGTGACTCGTGCCGGCAGCGCCTTGGAGGCTGATCATAGTGCAGGTCTGCCTCGCACATCCTGTCGTGCCAAACGTACGAAGGCGGGTTCGGTCTGGCTCCTGGTCTGCTCGTTGCGAGATGAGAGCTGCTGCTGCTGACGCTGCCTTGCTCACCCAAGGTCTGGAAGCCCACGGGGGATCGACGTACTGTGCTGTTGCCGCACTGAAGCTCATGGGGTACCTCGATACGATGGATGCCTCTCAACGCAACAATGTAGTCCGATGGTGCCTCAAGAGGATGGTGAGCCAGGCGAATGAAGCTGAACGTGAAGTGTTCATAGGAAGACAAAAGTATTGCTGGGATAGGGGGAGTAGAGAAGCTTGAGGGAGGTGGAATACGACGATCACCCTGACGATGTTGAAGGTGTCTGAATCCGGAGGCTACCAAGGTAGATGCAACAAAGTCAGCGTGAGTCATGCAGCGTCTATCTTGGCTGGGTATCAAGGTTCTCAAACAGGATTCGTGCTACTCCTTCTGGATAGGAGCTTCGCTCGACATACTGGGGTCTGCTCATTTCTCCGACTCTTCAGCAATCCGTAAGACACGATCAGAACGATGCTTTTGATTGATCCGATTTGCATGCAGGAAGGTTTTTGTGCAAGTGCGAAAATAAGACGTTTGGAGGTTTCAGCAAATTTCCAGGCATGTTTCTATACATTCAAACATTCCTTTCGTTCGTCTAACATCACATCATCTCATGAACTGTTTTACAGAAGCAACTTGCGATCCCCTGCACACTTACCTCTCTTTGTGTGGCTTTTCGATCGCAGGGGATCAAGGTACTTGTCATGTGCAGCCTGCCCACATGTTGAAGGTCTTGCAGAGCACTTGTCTCAACTCTATTGCCCCCTAGGCATGTCGCAGAGAGCGTACGAAACCCTTCTACGTCAGCTTGCGTGAAACTTTCGACCAACACTCCAGCCTGCCTTTCGGATTCAACCATATCACAGGTTTCAACTTTGAACATCTTAGGACGTGTTTGGGAACGATTCCTGGTTGCACTGCTTCTGGCCAACGTATAGAAGAACAATTGACGCCTCGTGGAAGCAGTAGCAAAGGGTTAAAGTTTGTGCGGGATTCCTCCACTTGCAAGGAATATCTCACCATGCCGCCATGACTCGCAAGGCTGGCCCTCCTCTCTGAAAATGATTATGTGCCTCAATGTAATCTGCGAAACATGCAGTGACCGTGTACTGATGCAACAACGTTTGATGGGAATGGCGAAGTTGCCTTTGAGTCTCAGATTGTTCAAGTTTCGATTTCTCCACCATTTTGTCGGCGCATTGCAGTCTGACAGCATCACCAGAATTATTCCGTCTCTGAATCGGCGCTAGCCTGGTCAGGTTGCCTTGCAGTTGGTCCCTCTCCAAATCCTTTAAAAGTCCAGAATCACAAAAATGTTGCACGTCGTAATGTTGTAAACTACAAGAAGAATAGAACTTACCTTGGTTAGAGATTGCCTCGAGCTCAAGACTTGTGCAGTTTTCTGAGGAGGATGATTCACTGCACACACATGGAGGAGCGACAAGGCTACCTGCATGCTCACATCGTGTGCGCTGAGCAGCTGCTTGAAAGTCAAGCTTGGCTTCTTCAAACCTCCGCCCAGCTCGCTCTTGATTCGAGGAGAAGCCGAGACTCTTGACATGGGGCTCAATATCGCTTGCAAAGAGGACGACATGCTGGTATGTGATCTCAGACTGGGAAGATTGGTCGCCTGCTTAGATCTGAATGGTGTGATGGATCCAGTAGCAATTATGTTGTCACGTCCCAAACCTCCTCGTAACATGTTCTCTCCCGATGATGCCGAAGAAGTGTCAGATCTTGAGGACGCAACCGCTGGATCGTTGGTCTTTGGCGTGTCATCTGCTCTCGTTGCACGATTATTCTCACTGACACAAACGATCGCTGGTGAGATCGAAAGGGTTGCAAGTTTGGTGTGCAGGCGCGGGATAGCATGCGGTCTTGCCAAAGGCTTTCGAGGCGATCCAAGAAAGCTATCGGGGGAACATTCCTCAGGTCTCCTGTGGGAAGACGAGGGAGGCGAGACTGACAGGGGGAAGTGGAACTCGACAGGTTTTAACGCAGTTGGGAGATTCTGAGGCGATGCCGGCGATGCCGGCGATGCTGATGATGCCGGTGAACGCGAGGTATGCATATCAAGACTTTCGCATTCACCTTCCTTGAAGGAAAGGGGGGGGAGGGGGGAGGGGGGGGGAGTACGAACGAGGATACAAGCGAGTTATCACGAAGTTGGGATTTGAAGATGCAGATGAAGAAGCAGGTGTGCGGATTCAGATACGATGGTTGAGATGAGTGGGAAAGGGACCGGGACTGAGGGAGAGGAGACAGGAGACGGGGTAGGTTGTTGAGAATCGAGGAGACAGCGGAGCGGAGAGAGAAGGGATACAGAACTAGTTGGGGATCGTAGTAGAACAACCCAGGCAGACAAAATAAATATCCATGGTGGGGTGGGGTCATCAACAAACTTGGTCAGACCCGTGGGTATAGTGTGCAATTTTATCTTCTGGGTAGGGTGGTTCAATGTTGAGAAATGTTGTGAGGAAATTTCGAAATCTATGATAAATTTTCATTATTGAAACCATTAAATGTGATGAGGACGGGGGTCACTTTGCCAGAATGTCTTTCATAAGGTGGGTGGGGTGAAAATACAGGGGTAGGGGTGGATATGATCTGGGGAAAAAAATACAATGGGGTGGGCACAGACGAAGGTCAATCCTCTATCAGACAGATATCTACTGAGGTGGGGTACTAAAAGATGACCAGAGGGGTAGTTTGTCCGAGTTTTTCAAGATATTCGTGGGGTGGGGGTGACCAAGACTACCGGTATTGCTCCACTATGGTTCAAATCTGTGCGATAAAACTTTTATAAAACACTTGTTCGCATTTGTACGGAGATTTTAAACTGATGGTACCTTTTTAAAATTATATATCCTGTGTTATATACTGATAAGCCTGTTTCCAACTGGGCCGGGCCCGTTTACTAGGCTAGTACGGTCAGTCCGGGCCGCCGAGACCGTCAGGCTCCCGTACTCGGGAGCCCCGGCCCACACCGTACTCGAGTCGGACTCTGATCCGATCGGAAACGAGCAGTGACCGGGAGCCCGACTCCGGGACCGTACCGTGGCAGTTACCGGGGCGGGCCGCCGTACTAGCCGTGCGGGGCGGCCAGCTCCGGGAAGTCCCGGACGGTCCGGTTCGGCGCCGGAAGTTCCGAAGTTCCGATGATCCGGCGTCACTGTTAGTTACCGTTCCGGGGGGCCGCCCACTCAGTGGGGGGCCCATCATCAGATGATCGCCGCCGACCGGGCGCGGGGACGGAGTCGGACCCGGGCCGGGAGTCCGCCGGACTCGCGGCGCCCGGCCCGGCGACGGCCCGGTCACCGATCAGGCCCGTCGTGCGGCGATTGACTCTGTCGGAAACGTTGACTGAGTTTCGGAATCAATTCAATGTGCAACTTCACTCAGTGACCGGGCAACCCTATGAAGTGACTGAGACGCGGCGCCGCCGCGGGGGCCGGGCCCGGGGCCACTCCGTCACCCGAGCGGCCCGGGCCCGGCGGGGCCGGCGGGCGGTATCGGACGGTGACGGTGGCGAGTCCAATCCGACTCTGAGTCTTACTCCGACACTGGCTGAGTCAGGCCCAGGCTGAGCCTCCCCGCCCAGTGACTCCGACGACTAAACCCGGAAGTTGACTGTGAACTTACTGGGGGGCTGACACCAGGGTGGGCGCACGGTGACAGCGGCTCGGCCCGGAGCCGGCCGCGCCGGCCGGTGAGCGTGACCCGGTGACCGTACAGTACTACTACGTGTAAGTTGGTGGGCCCGGCGGCGCCGGGCCCGGGGAGTCTTTTTTGGAAAGTTTAGGTCCCAGGCTGCCAGTACACAGCGAAGAGCTAGTAGGCAAACAATGATGATGCCGGTAGCTGTAGGCGGGAACTGATGAAAGAGCGAGAGTATGGCGAGAACTGAGAGAGATAGGAGAGTCTTGGTAGTTACAGGATGAAGATAATCAAACCATGAGACCAAGGTTGCGAAAGCAAGAGGGAAGTAGTTTTGAAAGACTAAGCCTATTGTTCATCGGATGGCTCCGATGTTAAAAATTCTGTAACCAAAATGCTGCGATGAGGTATTTGGGAGATTTGTGCGGAAGAGATAGACAACTGCCAAGTTACATAGCAGTCATACATTCCTCGATCGTGTAGTAGCTGCATCAAATTGATTTCCCTGATTGAAACTTGCCGCGAAAAAAGTATCATGTTGTCGTACTCGGAAGTTGATTGTTCATGTCTTCCATATCATCTTTATCAGCTATTGTTCTCACAGCATTCCTGCAGGTGCATGGAAGTGAATGCGACCCTGATACAACTCATTGTGATTGCTGGTTGAACTACACATTGTTTGCAAGTTTGCCAATCATCATTCTTCGGAGTGATTTGTCAGAAATCGGAGATCAATGATAACATAACGGAAAAATTATATCATGATCCTCAGGACGTTCAAAGGTGGTGTCATGAAATTGATCTTCTTGCTCGTCTTTGTCTCCTCTTGCCCTCAACGTGCCAGAAGGAGGACGCAAGAATTTTGCTCGCAGGAGAGACCATTGATACGTCAAAGGAGCCTTCCATTCTTGATGGTAGGGCTGCTCCTCTTGTGGTAGATAGGTACTCACCTGCACTCAAGATGTGTTGAACCGCGGATTTTCGAGAGCTCTAGCGAATGAAGACAAAAATCTCCAGCAGTGGTACGTCAAGACCAAACCAGGTGCAACTCTGCGCAATTCTGCTTCTTGCTTGACCGTAAGGAAGGAATTTTCAACTTTTCCAAGACTCTGCTGAAGGGTATGATTCAAGCCTACTTACCTCACGATGCACACATAGTTGTAGCCGATAAGGTGAAAGCTTTCCTTGCACCCCAGCCGCGCTTTGATGAGAGTGCCTGATAGATCAAAGCGCTCACCATTGCTTTACATCCCGACATTCAGTGGGTTGGTCGAAGACACTGGAAGCACAAATTACCTAGAGACTTGCAAGACAAAGTCTCAGAGCGTCGATTCTCATTTTTCAATTTTTTTAGATCAGAGCCACGGGATGAGAGGTGAATACCCATCATATTGTCTCTGGAACAATGATGAACTTTCAACCTTGCAGGATGGCAATGTTCTATGTCAGTCTTGTGGAGGAAAATGGAATCATAGATTGTTGTAACAAGTCGCATGCTGTGAATCAGCAAAACTCTACTAGGGCGCATGGATTAGCCCGAAGATGGCAGGCTGAAATAGCAGGTGCGATAAGTGTTGCAAGGTTGAGAGCTGGTCTTGACCTTCAGCTTTGTATAGCTCAACTTGTTGCCGTGCATGTCTTCGTTGCGAGTCCCAGGAGGATCTCAGTGGCGTGTGCCTACCCGAAGTCAAGCGAGGTCTTGGAGTGGTTTGCTCAGCAGCCCGAGGTGCTGCACTTCGTCTCAGTCCGGCTCACAAGCTGACCTCACTGGACAGGTCTTGTGGATAGACAAGCAACCTGTTTACCTGCCGCAAGGAAAGTATTCCACCCCGCTGCTGTCTGACGGCCTCACGATCAACCTAGCCACTCATGGGCAGTCGTATATCGACATCTTGAACCTGACGGGCATCAACGAATACATCGGGATAGCTGATACAGGGATTGATTGGTTGAACTGCTTCTTCTGGGAGCCCTCCGGCACCAGCGATCAGGGCTTGCAGCCTCCTTTTCAAGACCTGTCATTCCTGCGCAGGAAAATCGTCACGTATCAGTACATAACGAGCTGTGCGGTGTGCGGGATGTGCCCAGTAAACATCAGCGCAGATCAGAGAAGCTTCTCGGGGATTCAGAACAAGATATCGGCAGGGGCTCCGATCATCTTCGACATGCCAGCGAGCAGTGGGCTCTCAAATCAGCCTCCGAGGAATTACGACAGCTCCGGGGCTTCTGTGATGTTCAGCTTCTACGCTTCCACGCGCGGGACTCAGTCGATCCAGAACCCCAGCGCTGGGACGTATGACGTCCAGGTTGACATACAAGTGTTCATTATCTCACAGGCTGACAAACCCTCCTTTGATCCCCAAAACCCTGACTTCTCCAAGTGTTTGAACATTTGTAATCGCAAGGGGGCCCAGCTAAAACAAGTTCCCTATGACACGAGCACAGGACAAGAGTACGAGGCGCTCGGAGCTGCTACTGGAGGCTACACCATCGTGGTCGTCAACGTGGGGTCAGGGAATGTGCAGCTGGACGCAACGCTTTACGGAGAGATTCAATTCATGTCGGCACTGAAGCCGTGTGGTGATGGAGGCGATGACGTCACTGGCCATGGGACGCATGTTGCAGGAGCTGCTGCTGGCAGACCGTACATGTCTCCGACCCCTGATGGTATCGCTCAGCAGAGGGCAGCGGATCCGTACAAGGGGATAGCGCACAATTCAAAGATACACTTCATGGACTTGATGCAGAACTCTGATCCCAACTGCATCACACCTGGAAAGCCCTGCAACAAGGTCAGCAGCATGACTGTGCCCACGGATGTGTACACGCAGCTGTTTCAGAAGCCTTACAACGATGGGGTAAGGATACATCTCGATACCTGGGGATGCTCCTTCACAAACACAGAGCAGCCCTCAACCTGCAACACCTACTCCACGCATGCTGCAGACATCGACAAGTTCGTGTGGGATCACCCCGACTTCCTGATTGTTGTAGCAGCCGGAGATGCTGGTGACCTGCAAGCTGAAGGGACGATTCTCTCCCCCGGGACCTGCAAGAACTGCATCACAGTGGGTTCCTCGGAGTCCGCTTCCCTCTCTTTCACGGAATCCTCCAGGCTGAGGAACCCGCTCGACGACATGTGCTCCGCTTGCTCGTTCCCGAGCTTTTGTAGTCGATCGCCAGTGATCGGCGGTGTGGCGATCAGCAGCGCTGCCATCTTGCAGACACAGATGGCTACTTTGCCTTCTTGCTGCAATGACACCTTGCACCAGTTCTTCTCTGTGAAGAACTTCCGCTTAACGAGGCAGTCGTGGTACTTCATGGTGTTCCCAAACATTTCAACTTCTACACTTACCTTCCTGCAAGAGCAGTTCATCGCTCAAGTTTACAACTGGGTTCTGGTCGGAGCGAGTGTGAGAATGGAATTCATCGCTGGCCGAACAACACAGCAGAACATTCCTCGCCTACAAATATTCTTTCTTGACCGACCCAACTTCTTCTCTGCCTTCCAGACATGCCTGCAACCCTGTACAACATTTCCATGCACAGTCTCGGACTCTCAAGCACAAAGCTGCTCGAGGGTCGTCAGCAATTGTTTAAATAATTGCACCGCCCAACAGAACAATATCACCGAGTGGGTCAAAGCGAAGTCAGTTGACGGCTTCGGCATAGCCGTGTATAACCTGGACAATTCGGCGGTGGAGTTGTCTGGTCAAGTTTCCATCCATCAGTATAACTACCCGTGCAACCTGGTGGACTGTTGCGGCAGCTCTGGCACATCCTCGCAGTATTCCTGCTGCCCTTACTCTTACCCTAGCGAGTTTGGTGACTACAGCGCCTGCCAACAGTGCGGCACGAATCCAACGCCTGGGACGTGCTACGGCCACCAGCAGAGGAACCTCGCTCCCTGGTCTTCGAGGGGACCAGCGTCCTCCAACTACAACGGAGGGTCGAAGGACTTGCGCATCAAGCCAGACATCGTCGCGCCTGGGGACTTGATCATCTCCGCCAACAGCAACGCGAACTCGACGCCCTTCCCTTTCTCTCCGGAGAAACCACCTTTCTACGCTCACTGCGGACTTCCGAGTCAGGTCGACCCCTCGATCACCACCTGCAAGCTCCAAGCCTCCGCACCCTGGTCAAACACAAGTGCTCTCAAGTCCCAGAATGGGACGTCGGTCTCCGCAGCGCTGATAGCAGGCTCTGCTGCTCTGATCCGACAGTATTTCAAAGAAGGATGGTATCCCCTGGGCATCCAGAACTCGAGCTACGCCAACACCAATCCTTCTGCCGCCCTCATCAAGGCGATGCTGCTCAACTCCGCCAGGTCTCTCGGAGGATACTTCGACAAGTACACCTACAAGGTCATCTCCTCTCCCTCGTTTCTCCTCCCGCTGACCCTTCCCTTCCAGTTTCGCAGTCCCTGCAGCCCCAACGCCGTAGGATGCGTCCAGTGGGTCCAGCCTGACCCCTCCGTGTGCACCACCGACGTCAACGACCCGACCTGCTACGTCGAGCGAGTCAGCATCCCTCCTGCTCCCAACATGTACGAGGGGTTCGGGCAACCCGCCTTGATCAACGGGCTGTGGACGAAATACTCCAAGTACTCGACGTACATCACTGAGAGCAGCCTGAATGAGTCCCTCATGACCTCCTATACCTTCTCCATCCTCGGCACCAACCCCGACATTCCCTTCAAGGCCACTCTAGTCTACACAGGTGAGCAGCAGAGCTTGTTTGTCGGCTGTTCTGACCCGCGTCCCAGATCCTCCTGCAAGCCCTGGAGCTGATGTGGTCCTCGTGAACAATCTCGACTTGATCGTCCAGATAGTGACCATACAGGAGCAATACGATCCCAACATCGGTGTTACCAAAGTCGTCCAGAAGTTTGAGACCTTGTACGGCAACGATGTCAGCAGCCGAGGGGTGCGGGACAACCTGAACCCTTCGGAGCAAGTCACCGTCTCCAGCACCATCCCAGCTACCAACGTGACCGTGATCGTGGTGGGAACGAAGATCTCTTCAGTCCTGAACCCGCAAGGACAGAAGTTCGCTCTCATCGTCAGTGGACTTCTGATGCCCAAATACAACGAATGGATACAGAACAAGAAGACCGTTGTCAATGTCACGGGCCCTCTCGTCTCCTCCAACGTCTTCACCTCGTTCAACAACCTCGATGTCTTTCGCACAGGCGGCATCAACACCAGGGACCTGGCGATTCGCTTCCCCAAGCTATCGACGTTGACGCATCAGAGGATGGTGAGGGAGGAAGAGAGCTTGCGAGGTCTTGCGCGTGGGGCTAACGAGGTCGAACAGATCCAAGAAGGAGACGACAACAAGGACGGGATGATCAGCGTTGTCGAATGGCAGTCTGTCTTCCAGCAGCTCCAGTACCAAGAGCTTGTCTCTCTGACCCGCCTTCTGACTGCTGACGGCAGGACCGGAGGGCTCATGGCGCAGCTCCCTCAAGTCGCAACGACCTTCATAGACGCGAGCTTGGCCGGCACCCAGCAAACTCCTTCTCCCTCAACCTCCGGATGCTCTCGAACCCCCGCGGACTCGAAGCTCTTCTACTGGATCTTCTTTTACTTGTGTATAATAACAGCAGGAATCTTTTAGCTCATCTTAAAGAAAACTTTTCGATGAGCACAAGAGCGATGCTGATGTATCTTCCTCATCTCTTACTGCTGTTCTCTCACTTATCTCTTGATGCTTTAACTCACCTGTACCAGCCTCGAGGGATCAAGACTCCATTGCATCATATTCCTTTCATACTCCTTTGCATCATATTCCTTTCATACTCCTTTGCATCATATTCCTTTCAGACTCCTTTTGGCTGAGCGCATGTCAAGTTGTATGTCCCTGCCCTGCCCTTAGCTCACCTCTCATACCTTCTCTCCTTCTGGTCTCCGCCCTCTTCTCCTCTCCTAATCATATCCTCTTTCCTTCACCTCCTCTCCCCTCCTCTCCTCTTCCACCTTCTTCCACCCTCCCCTCCCCTCTCCTTTCTACCCCTCCACCCTTCCCCTCGCCTCTCTTTCCTTCTCCTTCTCCTCGCCTCTCTTTCCCTCTCCTCTCCTCTCCTCTCCTCTCCTCTCCTCTCCTCTCCTCTCCTCCCCCCTCCCCTCCCCTCCCCTCCTCTCTCCTCTCCTCCTCTCTCCTCTCCTCCTCTCCTCCTCTTCTCCGCCCCCTTCCTGTCCTGTCCTGTCCTCTCTCCTCTCCTCTCCACTTCCCTCCCTCTCGCTACTCGCAGGCCCTGCAGGTCGTTCGAACGGCCTCTTCCTGCTCCCACCCCACCCCTTCTCATCAACCGAATTTTATCTAAAAAGTACCCCTACTCCCTCTTGAGTCTGGTGGCCTGCAGGTCCCAGACAGGGAGTGGAGCGGTCAGACCAGAGGGAGGGAGGAAGCGGAACTAGACGAGAGAGAAGGAGAGGAGAGAAGAAGAGTAGGAGGGGATCGGAACAAGACAGGACCGCACAGGAGAGGAGAGGAGAGGAGAGGAGAGAAGGGGGGAAGAAGGGAGAGGTCACGAGAGCAGTGCAGCAGATCTGAGACGACGACACAGCAAGGGAGAAGAACGAGGCACCGCGTAGCAAGAGAGAGAGCGCGCGATGGGACGAGAACTTGAAGGGCTCTGAGGCTGTGCTGAGTTGGGAGAACAACGAAACCTCAGTGTGCCATGATGCGTCCGATCAGCCTGGCTCCTCCAAACCATGTGTGTATGTGGCGACTGTTCCAGACGGTCAACACCCTTGGTGTCGCCTTCAACGCCATGTCGATGCCCCTAACAGGATCTCGATCGAAGAGGCAGGCGGCGATGGTGGGTATGCGGCAATTCAGCAGTGGGCCGAAAGCATCTCAGTATGTCTATGTTGTCACGCATGGGAGAAAACCAGGAGTGTATGAGGTGAGGGCAACTATCTTTTTCTTCTCTGCTTGTCTTGATGTGTAATCATCATCTTCAGACTTGGGCAGAATGTGCCGAGCAAGTGAACGGGTACAAGTCAGCAGTATACCAGAAGGTCAAACGAACTCAACTTACTCATTTCCAAGAGGGTTGCGTTGAGACGAACAAAGCGGTGGGAGGGATGCGGGAGCATGGCTTGCTTGAAGTGACAGGTAGCGATGAGCGCTTAGGAGTGATGTCAGATGAGAGTGAAAGCCGAGTTGAGGAAGACGTGAAGAAACCGAGTAAGACGAGGAAGAAAATGGAGAGCGAGACGGAGGAGGAGCCGACAAGTCTGACGGGAGCAAAAGAATATCGAGTGCTCACAGTCTACGTCGATGGTGCCGCTCGTGGCAATCCCGGAGCAGCGAGCTACGGCATCTTGATCAGAAACGACGCGGGGAAGAACGTCATGAAGATAGCGAAGCGTCTAGGAAGCCAGACCAACAACGTGGCCGAGTGGGAAGGAGCCCTTGCAGGGCTTCAGTCCGCGTTGGAGTTAGGAGCCGAGTGAGGAAGATGGAGAAGAAAGGATGAAAGGTTCTGACAAGTGCTGGTCAGGGAGGTCCACCTAATGTCGGATTCAAACCTGGTAGTCAATCAGATCTCAGGGCTCTGGAAGGTAAGACTCATTCACGAAATTGACATGTTCCCTTTCATATGCTGAGCGTTTGATGTGTTTTCTGCTTCTGTTTTAGATTAACGATCCGACTCTCCGTAAGCTGCACTCTGAAGCCATCAAAGTGGTCAAGAGATTCTCTCAGTAAGAAGACATTCCCCTCTCTAATTGTGCATCAATTCACAAGCTCATGCTTTGCCCGTCTGTCTTTCAGCTCTGACATAGATGCAGCTTCGATGCAACATGGATTCCGCGTGCAAAGAATCAAGTTGCTGACGGTCTTGCTAACAGTGCACTAGACTATGGAGATTCTGTTTGGCAGTCAAAAGACAATTCCGACTCCTAGTCAAAGAAGAAAACAAGACATGTCATGTACACACTGCGGTCTTTTCAGCTTTACAAAATCATACAACGAGGAAGATGATCAACACCATTCATCAACCTCACAGACGATTCAGTCAAATTGTTACAGCTTGTACAAAGTCGACCCAACACCTTCTAACCCGCCCCCTGTCCTGGTGGGCCTTACTCCACTCCCCTCCTCCTGGCTTACAACGCTCTCGTGCCGTTATTGAACCTGGTGGCATAAGCACCAGCCATCCTTGTTATCAAGTCAGTTCACTTGAAATCCAACGATGAAGGGGCAAGTTCGAGAAAGAAAGTCGACAAGAAGTCATGGAAGAGCACATTGAAGCAAATGGCGACGGTGATTGTGGGAGGTTTCAAGTAGTAGATGATCACCTATCAGGAATATCTGCATGAAAGTCCCAGTCCTTGTCGATTCCACCCTGCGAAGTTTGTCAGGCCCAGTTTCAAACAGAAACAAACTGTTTACCGAAGGGGTATCAGCTGAACAAAGAAATCGGGAAAGATGCATTTTCCAAGAGGGAAAGAACAAAGTCAGAGGTAGTATTAAAGATAACAGAGGAATGAGTTGAAATCTCTCGTATCCATTACTATTGAAGAAGGGAATTCATCATCTGTCCTCCTATTCCGATCACTAGAACAGAGAACAGCATGAAGACCATATTCTATCAAGCCCATTTCTTCGGTCGTTTCGATAAGGATTTCAATCTATAGGCTGATCTCGACACAATCACGTCTTCTCATCTTGCATCCTTCATTGCCCCTTCCCCTTGCCACATCCTCTCAACACTACTAGGTCACGTCACTTGATATTCCTCCCTGTCACTTCGGAGTAGCGAGGAGAGGTGGAGGAGTAGAAGAGGAGGAGTGCCAGCAATCACCTCCATGTCCATTCAAGCCATGGCTGAGCTTCAAGGGAACGCCTAGATGATCCATCTTCGCCGCCATGCTGAGGAATCCCAGGCCTGCCGGCCCAAACAGCATCCCGAACATGCTGCCGACTATTTCTGGAGAAGTGGTACCCAGACGGACCCCTACTTCAGACCTTTGTAAAAGGGGTAGGGTACCTGTATGGTCCCCAGTCAAGGGGTGGGCTGGAATTATGGTGGCCCATTACATCGGTACTGGTAGTATGGAGTAGGGGTTATCTTGAGTCAAAAGCAAAGGATTATGGGGGGTAGTACCTTAGATGCTGTCCATTCATGAAGTGCAAAGCGTAAATTGGGGGGTGGGGGGTGGTATGGACAAGGTGGGGGCAGGGGTGGGGGTGCGCTGGTTGAACATGAGGGGGGATGTGGTCGAAAACGATTCAATTTTGTTTACACGCCTCCAGTGGCGCAACGATCATGCCGGGTGAGCGAAGAAAGAGAGAGGAATGAGAGAAAGCAAGAAGAGAGGGAGCAAGGAGAGAGGGAGCAAGGAGAGAGGGAGCAAGGAGAGAGGGAGCAAGGAGAGAGGGAGCAAGGAGATTGAGGAGCGGGAGGAGGGAAGGAGGAGAGGGAGATTAGGTTGAAGACTGATGACAAGGGAGGGAGAAAGGTAGAGGAAGAAGATGAAGAGGGAGTTGGGAGAGCAAGGTAGGAGAGGCAGATGCGGTGAGGCGTGCAAGGGTGTAGCGATGGAGACAGCGGGGGGAAGGTAGCAGCTATGAAGAAAAGAAAACAAATGGAATCGATTGAAAGAAAGAAAACATGGATAGTTATGAGTCGGTGACTTGAAGATTTATTGCAAAATTCTGAATTGCTATAATCTAGACGATTGCGTGAAAGACATGAGGGAATTGAGCTCTGAAAAACTTTCCCGCGCTGAGAGACTGGAGTTATGGAAGAAGGAGAAGAAGTCAAAAATTGAGTCCAACAAGGGCGACAGCAAGGCAAGAGTCCTAAAGGACATTCCTGTCAACCATGCGAGAAAAATAGCGCCCAAGGACACGCCTCGCCCTGAGGCGAAGACGGAGAGGAAAATCCTGCCTGCCTCTTCGTCCAACTTCAAACAGCACCACCAGAGGCTTCAAGTGAACCGGGCGAGGAACGCTCAGGCTCCCGTCACAGCCCGGACGTCCACACAGAAACGAGTGAAGCCCGCAAACGACATCAAGTCCTCTGTTGAGAAGCTTTACAGCGGTGAGGCTGACATGTAAAGTGTGAAGTGCGTTGAAGTTTGTGCAGGGATTCGAGATATCCAGGAGACGAAGGCATTGAAGGAGCAGGAATGTGAAAAGAAAGCGAAAGCAGATCCAGCAACGAATGTAGCAGGACAAGACGCCAGTTTTCAGCAGGCGGAGCCCTCGGATGTAGCAGCCGACACCGAATATTCTCTTCTTGAGTCTGAGACGGCTAAGTCAAGCATGATTGATATCCGAGAGAAACAGGGGAGCTTGCAAGATTCCGACGTCGAAGGATGCGGAGGTGACATGGTCCAGCAAGTCGATACAGTGCTGGATTGTGCTGCGAGAGAGGCGGAAGGAGAGGAGGGAGCTCAGATGGAAGAGGTCAAGGCAGAAGAGGAAGTAGAAGAGGTGAAGGACGAAGATGACGGAGAGGAGTCCGTCGGTGACCGCTGCTCCTTGTCGCCAGTGGAGCTTCCAGCAGACTCCGAGGGCACAGCTGAGCAGGTCGATCAGGTTGCGGCCACAGGAGAGGATTCTCTGTCTTCGACTCAAGTCATGAATGCTCCGTCTTCCAGCAAGCAGCGTGCAAGTCCGATCCCTGAGAACCTGGAGGAGGAGGAGGAGGAGGAGGAGGAGAACGTCAGTCATGATGGAGGAGGCGATGTCGATAAGTTGAAGTTCGCGCTCTACAAGGTCTCGAACAGGCTGGCTAGGTGCACGTCGTTGCTCCAGGAGGCCGTGAAGGAGAACGCAGAGCTCAAGCATCAGCTGGCCTTGAACGAGGGCTTCAAGATCCGGTATGAGGCCCTGGAGAGCACGGTGAAGGAGATGAAGATGGTGGAGGAAGCGAAGGAGGCCGCTGCTGCGAGCATGCAGGAGGAGGCAGGAGGAAGCGAGGCGGAGGGAGACTTGAGCAGGAAGAGGGTAGGAGGAAAGCTCAGCCCTCCCCAGCTGAGCCCCAAGAGAGCCAGGATGGAGGACGGCTCCCCTACCACGAGCTCGGAACGAATCCGTCTTCTGACCGAGAGGATTCTTGCCCAGGACAAGGAGATCCAGCAGCTCCGGAAGGCGGTAAAGGGGAAGGAGGGAGCGTTCTCACAGGAGCGGAAGACGCTCATCGAGAGGCTGAGGGTCGTTGATGAGCAGAGGAGGGAGGCGGAGACTGCGCTGGACGAGAACGACCTCATGTGGCAGCAGCTGTTTAACAACCAGATGGAGCAGCTGAAAAAGAAGGTCCAAGGTAACTCGAATATCCTCTCCCCTCTCCCTCTCCTCTTCTCCTCTCCTTTCCTCTCTCTCTCCCTCTCCTCTGATTCATCTCCCCCCTTTGATCTCTTCCCCGAAGTCTTGCAATTCTCCTTCTGCCTGCTGTTTCTTCTCCAGCACGAGAGCTGACCTTTTCTTTTGTGCCAAGCAGATCAAGACGCAGCCAAGCAGCAGCAAGACGCTGTTGACGGCGAGGGAGCGGCGAATGCAGGGGAGGACGGTGAAACCAAGAGTGAGGAGAGTGCGGCGGGTTTGTAACAGTTCAGATTCTCATCGTTAAAGTACATGGATGGTACCCAAGTGGCCTGTCCTGCCCATCCTACGAAATTTCTCTTCCGGCTGCTTCATGACGTGGAACACATCCCCCATGGTCATGAGCTTGTGCCCAATCGCTGTCAGACTCTCCACGCGCGGCTTGATCCTCCTCTCCAGGCTGTAGGACAGCATCCGGGGGTATCGCATCCAGTCTGTCTGAAGCATCAGAACCACGGGGGCAGGGGCAGGGGCGAGGGCAGGGGCAGGGGCAGGGGCAGGGGAGAGCAGAGTGAGGGGCGGGGGCGACCTTGGGGCTCGCTGATGTTGCACGTGGTCTTGATGTAGTTGAGAGTTGGCCGCAGGTTCTTGTCGACGCTGTAGCCGAGCATGGCAGGGCAGCGGATGACAAAGTCTCCTATCCTGTGCCTGGGTACTCCTGCCTCCTCCACCAGAAACTTCACTGTCGGCCTCAGCTTCTTCCCCACGCTGTACCCCAGCAGCTGCGGCTTGTTGCAGATGACCCGGCAGATGTTGTCGGAAGAAATGTTGAGCTCGTCATGCAGGTAGCGAACTGTGGGGCGCATCTTATTTTCGACGTCGAAGAGGAAGACGTAGGGATAGATCGCTGATATGTTGCCTATCTGCGTGGCGTCCAGCCCCAGCCCTTGCAGGAAGAGCAGGGCTGGTCGGAGCTTCCTCTCCACAGAGAGTGTGATGATGTGTGGGCACTTGATCAGCATCGTGCTAAGTTTGTGCCTCGGCACGTTGACGTCTCTGAGGAGAAAGTTGATCTGTATCAGACGCGCATCAGCATCAATATCATCAACACCACCACAACAATCATCATTATCATCATCATCATCATCATCATCATCATCATCATCATCATCATCATCATCATCATCATCAGCAGCAGCAGCAGCAGCAGCAGCAGTAGCAGCAGCAGTAGCAGCAGCAGCCAGCAAGTCAAGACCTCACCGTGTAGTTGAGATTGCGCTCAATCTTCAAGGAGAAGATCTGCGGGCGGCAGGTGAGGATGCGATGCATGCCGCTACTGTTGATTCCCATGACTTGCAGGAAAGTGACAACGTCGTCAAACTGGCGTGAGCACGCCGGGTAGAGGATGGTGGGGAACTTCGTGAGCAGCTTTCCAAGGCTGGCAGCGCTAAGACGAAACTCAGTCGACAACCGAGAGAGGATCGGTTCGATGTGATGCTTCAAGGACAGCATCTTCAGCTTCGGAGACGATCGGTAGATGACGTTCACTTCGTCGAGCGTCAGATTGCACGACCTCATGAGAAACAGAGTCTTGTCGTCGAACTCCCTCTCCAACTTTCGCACTCGAGCTTGCAAGAACATAAAGTCGGTACTGCCCATGTCAGGATCCACCAGCCTCTGGCGCCCCTTGCCCGGGCTGTTCTGAGCCAGCACGTCGCTCGATGTCTCCTCAGAATTGAGTCGCCCCATCTCCAACAATTCTCCTCCCATCCCCATCGGGACCGCATGGAAGTCAGGCATGCAGCCCTCCCTCAATGCGCTCAAGCACGACTCGGCTACTCGCAGAGTGACGAGGAGGATAAAAATGTAGGATTGGCGTGATGTGAGAGGGAGGAGCGAGGAGGGCCTCATTGCTCTTGTTCACAGGGCGCAAACTTTCGGATCTCGTACCACATCAGAGCGTCTGCTGGGGCAGAACATGCGCATGACGTGAGGCAGAGACGAGGAACAGCGAGCCTCTCCTGCAGTCAGCCTGCTGCCATCAGGATCATGGCCATCTCTTCAACTCTCCTCCTCCTCCCTGCGCCTCCTGCTCCTCTCCCCCCGTCCATCCCACACTGAATTTTGAGATTGGCCCCCCTCTCGTCGCACAAAAAGTGACGGTTATCCGAAGGATCATGTTTAACCGATATTGTAACGGAATCCAACGGTGCCCAGAAATAGATTATGGTGGCGAAAGAAGAGTTTGTTCCGAATGTTAGCAGTGGAGAGAGCACAGGAAAGATGAGATGAGATGAGATGAGATGAGATGAGATGAGATGAGATGAGATGAGATGAGATGAGATGAGATGAGATGAGATGAGATGAGATGAGATGAGATGAGGTGAGATGAGGTGAGATGAGGTGAGATGAGGTGAGATGAGGTGAATTGAGATGAGATGAGATGAGATGAGATGAGATGAGATGAGGTGAGGTGAGATCAGATCAGATCAGATCAGAAGACAGAACAGGCGAGAGGATGAAAAGAGAAGAGGATGGGGAGAGAGGTGAGCAGGAAAGATAAGAAAAGAAGTAGGGAAGGATTTTCAAAAAAAACCATTCGATTATGAAAATTCTACATGTCATCAATGCAGCTCAAAACTTGCGATGGTAGATGAATGAATGATTCGAGGCAAGACGCGTGGTTTCTGCGATGACTGACCTGTATGCTCTTAGTTCCAGATGAATTGATCGAAGTGATTCGCCATCAATAGCATGTCTTTGAACGAGGCCTCCAGCTTCGAGCGCGTTGTCCCTCAAGTTCAACTTCATCGAAATGACAGGAGCTCTCTCCGGAGGCAGATCAGCTTGGCTGTGGCAGGCGTCATGATATGCCTGACCTTGCCTCTCCTCTTGAGCGGCAGCGGCAACTACAAGCACAGGAGTAACGAACTCTTATCGTGGAGCAACAGCTTTGATGACGGGACCGGGATCCTCTCCGGGCAGCAGCATGGCGTCACGAGGACCATCGTCTCCTGCGATGCTGATGACCCCAGCTGCTCATTCATTGTCTCCCCGGAGGACTACGCACACGGCAAGTGGGTCAGCACCAAGGGAGAGCCGTCGCATGAGAAATACGTACAGGTAGCTGCTGATGCTCCTCCTTCCTTGCTTCTCATCTCCTCCTCATCCTCCTCCTCCTCATCCTCCTCATCCTCCTCCAGATCCGCAAGGATCGCCTGCAACCATCGTCCTATGAGGACGACATCGACCTGGGCCCAGCTGCTGGTGAGTGCGAGGGCTGAGAAGAAATGGTGTGACGGGTAAGGGCAGGGATTTCACGAAGCGACGTGAACGGGAACTTCATCAAGTGGAAGGGGTTGAGGAACGTCAAGAGCGGAGCAGACTTCCAGAGAGTCCGAGTGCCTGACAGGGTATCCCTACCACTCTGAAACCTTGCCGATTACTTACCTTGTCGACTCTGATAGGACTCAGACTACGCGGACAAATCCTACGACGATGTTGTGGGTCTGAGGAAGGAATGGCGCGAGCGATGGAACCCGTCTAACTACAGGAGGGAGCAAGAGTGGGAGAGGACGGAGAATCAAAGACGCGAGCCTGTCCACAGCAGATCAACGTGGGGCAGATCAAGGAAGTGGAAGGTGAGGGAGGAGGGAGGACTATCTGTGGGTCTGCTGCTAGTATGACCAGTGAAATGCAGGGGGATCGGTTGGAGGACGAGGAGGAGGAAAAGCTGAGGAGGGACCTTGACTCTTTGAAGAGAAACCGAGAGAAGGAGAAGCGTGAGGAGGAGACGATAACTCGCGACCTGCGAAACTTGAGGTGACTGCCATGGCAGCGCATGTCCCTCCTTCTTATGCCCCCCGCAGGCGCGAAGATGAGAATGAGCAGGATGGTGCAATTCAGGATGATGAACATAAGGAAGACGAAGGGGGAGATAAGAGCGCAGCGAGCGTTGCAGTGGAGAAGGAGGACAAGAACGAGGCGGAAAATGGGGATAACAAGGACGAGGACGAGGACAAGAAGGAGGAAGACGAGGAAAACAAGGAGGGAGGGAAGAAGAAGAACAAGGAGGGAGGGAAGAAGAAGAACAAAGAGGGAGGGAAGAAGGAGAACAAAGAGGGAGGCAACCGCCAGGATGAAGAACACAGACACGAAGGAGATGAGCGCGGGGACGAAGAGGAGAAAGGAAGTGGGAAGGATGACGAGTCTAAGCGTGAAGACGACAATACGGAGAAGGAAGGGAGCGGCGGCGGCGGTTTAGAAATGAAGGAGGATGGGAATGCGGGGGAATCTCCCACACCGCTGTTACCTGGAGCCACATCCACTCCTGAACCTTGAGAGGAGGATGGTTGAGTTCGAACGGTAAAAATTCGCGAATGAACGTGTTTACAAACACTGAATTGTCATATTGCAAACTTGATGACGTGTTGCAAGGAGGGATGGACTATCCTCGTGCTCGCTCTAGGAGCCGAAAATCTTCTTCCACATCCAACCGCCAGAGTGAGCCTGCCAATTGAATGAGGTGGAAGACATATCGCCACTACTCCAGCATCGCAAGCTCATCCTCCCTGACCCTCTCATGCTCGAACCCCTCCCTCTCCTCACTTTGTAAGCTCCCAACGTGACCGCTCCCGTGCACGTGATTGACGACCCTTGCTTGGGCATGCTGGTATCTGCTGTCAACTCCCACGAGCTCTGCCATGGGGTCAGCAGGAGCCCAGCTGGCAAAGACCCTCAGAGTTTCCACCTCGTCGAAGAAGCTTTCAAGCTGGGAGCTACCCGAGAAGCGGATCTCGAGGCCATGCAGCTTGGGAAGGAGGTCAAGGTGAGCTTGGGGAGATGGATCAGCTCACCATGATCGAGATGAAGTTAGGATGCTTGTGGAACTTGTAGTTCCCGCACCGCAGCCTTTCCTTGACCTCCTGCTCTCCCTTCAACCTCCGCTGCATGTAGCAGATAGCTCGTACCTCCAGGTCCTTTGCCAGCAGCACGATGCACTTCATTCCGCTCTCGTCAGAGGGGACCATGCGCATGGCCGGGCCTCGAGGCAGCTTCCAGATGCCATGGGAGGACTGAGGAGGAGGAGGAGGGTCAGGTGGGAGGAGGACAGTGAAGGCGCCTCACCCGCGCTTGTCTTCCTGCGATGCGATCGAAGAGCAACTCGAAGGAAGCGACCTGAGGCCATGCCGCGCCGTAGACAACCTCCTTGAGGAGGAGGGAGGAGGCGATCAACCGGTGGTGGGTGATCTCGTTGAAGCAGCGGAAGAGCAGCTTGCTCGGGAGGACTTCTGGATCCTTGGACATGACAAGGTTCACCTTGTTCAGAAGACCCTTCTTGGAGCCAGGTACAGTCACATCGTAGACGTTGTTGGAGCCGCTGTGCAGCACGAAAGGAATCTCTCGCTCTGACAACGATCGCTCGGTCGCCTTGCTCCCGATGCTGCAGGAGCTGAACTCAATGTCCTCCAACTTGGCGAAGTTGGGAAACGACCTGAGGATCAGTCAGAGGTCGAAAAAGCAGGTGGGACAGCGGGATGGGGGACGGAAGGGATAAAGGGAGGGGATAGGAAGAGAGGGGAAGGAGAGAGGGAAAGGAGAGAGGGAAGGAAGGAGAAGGGAGCACAACTGCAAACCTCATCGTTCGGATTTTCTTCACCCAGTCCTGGTCTATGGTATCCAGTTGAACCTCCACGTCATTGAGATAAAAACTGTCTCCCTGCCGACATTTTTTCCCCAGCATGTATTCCATGAAGTTGATCAGGTCCTGCCTCACATCCTCGGATGTGCATCGCACACTGAGCCTCGATATCCCACTCGCGCATGGCAGCTCGAAGGTTTTCGCCGCCCTTCCCTCCCTGAGCCATTTCACCTCCTTATCTTCAGAACCGTGTCCTCGCTGGGAGGAAGGGAGGGCTGCAATGAACTGCTGAACCTTGACATTCTCTGCATCATCCTCTTTCATGGACCTGCTGCCTGCCTGATCCCCAACGGCTGGACGTATCCTTCCCGTCTTCGAAGATCGGCCTTGGACATCGCAAGCGCTCCTTCGAGCTGATACTGTGGAAGAGAGAGTTCTCATGTTCAGGTCATGAAGATGACCTGGCGCCGGAACAGATTTGTTTGCCACTGATGAAAATCTGCCTGCTCTGCATGATGGTGGGGCAGAGACAGAGCTGGCTGAAGTCGACCATCCTTGTTGCGTGGGAGCACCGTGAACCGAACAAACTGCCGACGGCAACGAGGTCGCAGGGCAGAAGTGACGAGAGGCCATTGTTCTGCAGCTTCCATGGAACATTCTTGCGGACGAGCCTGCCATGATCTTCATCTTGTCTCTTCTCCTTCTCCTTCCCTCGCCTTCTCCTACGCCCCCATCGCCATGCCCTTGAGACCTTGCACTACAGCACCCCCACCCCCCCTTTTCCCCTGACCTCTACCCACGTTCCACCGTTATATCAGGACCGCTTGCTAGCATTTGGCCGGGGGTCGCCTGTTCACTCATCCTTCATCCTTCACTCAGTCATCCGGCGGGCCGCTGGGCCGCGGAGCGTCGGACACTTGCTGGAGGCTGCCGGGCAGGGGGGGCCGGCCCAAGTTGCGCCGGGGCCCGTGAGCTCACGAGTGGGCCCCCGCGGCTCAGCTGCCAGGTTGCCGGGGCGCCCGGCCCCGATCATCCGCCGCCGGGGTCCGACGGGAGTCGACAGGAACTTAATTACCAAAACTACAAGCCTTCAAGTTACAGTGACTAAGTTAAACCGTAAATTCAGACGATTAGGGCGCGATTCGCACAGAGTGGAAGGATCCTAGCTGATTGATCTAACAAATCCGGGGATCCTCCTCGTAAACACAAACAGAAGCTCCTCGGGCAAGACTCTGCGGCCGAGGAGACGAAGGCACGAGCAGCTGAGCCTTCACTTCCAGTTGAGGTATCTCGGATCTCCAAGGATACGTGGGGAGATCAAATGTTTCACCAAGAAACTGCGACAAGGTCGTCAGCCACCAACATGAGCATGGCAACAGCAACTGACATGATGGCAAGGGCCACGCAAATGATGCCGACGACGATGTAGGCGATGCCTAGGAAATTGTTCTTGCCTCTGCGGTGGGAGTCAACGAGGGCAGGCGGCTCGAGAAGTACTCGCTACCCGATCCAGGAGGTCGTGGAGAGGACGAAAGTCTTGGTGCCTCCAAAGTCCTTGACGGGGAATCTGTTTTGGATGATGAGGCTGTACGTCGCTCCCGGCTTCAGCTTGTTCTGTAAACGTCTCCTGTTATCAACCGTGCTAGGAAGAGGAGGGAGAGAAGCAGAGATAGGAGGAGAGGTAGGAGGAGAGATAGGAGGAGCGAGAAGATTAGGAGGAGTTTGGGATTATCGCTGTTGTAATTGTTGTTGTTGTTGTTGTTGTTGTTGTTGTTGTTGTTGTTTTGGTGGTGGTGGTGGAGGAGGAGGAGGAACATACCGCTGGAATCTTGCGATAAAGCTTCTTGAATCTCGGCAGGGCAGCGACTCTCATCCAAACGATGAAATCCTGGCAGGAAGTGACCCCAGGGGACACGGAAGCCTACTCTCTCCTACCTCATCTGAGACATTGTGCCAGCAAAAGAAGCTGCCTTGATTTGGCAAACCAGAAGCATCCTTGACTCTGTGCCCGCACCGGTACCCTCCGCAATTGTCGGAAGTAGGACTAAGTGAACAGGTTGTCAGAGTCTGGTCGCTACTTGCAAGGCTGACACATTTGAATGACAATCACCTGATGGAATCCTTTAAATTAGGATCGAAGCCGGAGAGAGTGAAGTCATTGCCTCCGATGTACTTGCAGTTCGAAAGGATCCAGTCCCGCTCTGCACCATCGTCATCGAGTCTCTCGCCTTCAAACATCAAAGACGGACTCGGCGCGATGTACTTCTTGTCCACGTCAGACTTCCAGGCGATTCCTGATGGGTTTGTAGGACATGGGCGCCTGTAGTCGACGATCAGGCAAACTCGAAGGGCATGGAAGGGCTTCACCCATTGTTGTTGCAAGCTGTGTTGTCAGGGTTCCAATCCACGAAGTCTTTTGTCGCCGCATTCTGAAGGTAGAAGGTGTCGTTGAACATGGACACAGCGACCTTGATGTGATCAATGGCTGCAAAAGATGGCAAGGGCCATTTACCAGCCCACAAGGGTACATGTACAGTTCTTTGCTCGCGTCCTGAGGGTCTTGAAACTTATCTGCAAATCCCTGGGGACAAAACATGTCTGAGCTCGCTCCGGAAGACAGGCGCTGTTGACGGCCGGCAAGGTACCTGACACTCTGAAATGGAGGCCTTTGCTAAATCTGAGGGCTGGGTTTTTGACGAGTCAGGGAAGCCAGGCATGCTGGTACCAGCAAGTTGCTTTGCAGCACGAGACTGCACGTATTTCCTGCACGAAAGCATCAGAATCAAACGGATTAAGTTGCAGAAAAGGAGCTTGCCGATGGTTCTGATAAAAGTTGGACAATTCGTAATACACATAAACTTCACTTGTTGCCCATTTGTCGTTTGAGGGAAGGGTGAAACTGGAAACAGGAGCTCGTCAGTGATGGCGTTGACGTGAAGCAGCGCTTACTTCAGGATGCACTCGGAATATGATGAAGCATTCCAAGACATGAAGTGATTTTCGCATTTTGCATCATACTGCAGGGACAATTCTTGAACCTTGGGTTGAGATTGTCAAAGGACCAAACAGAGGGTTTGCGTCTTCTACCTGGTTGGATGCTCCAAGTATTCCGATCGCTATTCCGATGAAAGCGACTCCAACAGCAAAGAAGGAGGAAATGACCCACTTGGGAGTGAGAATCGGCTGCCATGCCCTCAGTCGCTGCTGCTTGAAGGCAGTGTCTGCGAGCAATGGTCAACTTGTAGATGCGCTCGAACGAGATGGTGAGATCGAGAGAGCAGGAGAGGAGAGGAGTGCGAGGACTGGTACAAGAGTAGCCCAGCTCTTCAAAGGGTATGGCATCAAAGGTGGTCCCTGCGGGGTTCACTCACCAGCTGGTCTTCTGCTGCCTGACGGCGTTGACATAGTCCTTATGCTGGAAGACAAATCTGTCCGCGATCTGTCATGACAGTGAGTCCCGATCATCTGACACATGGAGCTTGTGGCTCTCCTCAGGAACTCGCTGCAAATTGTCTTTGGGACAGAAAGTCTCAAGGCAGAGCGTTGCAGTCAACCAAACAATCCCATTCTAGCTCCTGCTCCCGTTCACCCCATCACCAAGTCCTCATCCTCCACCACCGTCTATACCCATCCTCTCCCACTTTCCATTCATCATCAAGACGACATTCCTGTTCCTCCTTGCCTCAAAGTTTCCATCCTTGTCCATTCCTGTCCCCAGCCAATTGCCGTCCTCTTCTTCTCCTCCAACCCCACATGTTGCTGCTTGACAGCGAGTTACAACGCCATTGTCATTGTCTCCATCTTCTTCCTCCTCCTCTCTCGCTCCGCCTCCGCCTTCCTCCCTCCCTGCCTCACACCATCTCTCCCCGTACAGCGCCATCGCTGCCTACGGTTATCCGTGAGATTTTACTTCGAAAGTCAGGGCAGGACTTTAGTGGACGGGAGTCTCAGTCGCCGCCGGGCCGGCCCGGGCTGCCCGCCGGGCCGCCTCAGCCGGGCGGCCCACCCAGGGCGACTCTCGTGGCAGTCTTTCAGAGTCTCCGGCCATAACCGGGGCACTGGCCCAGGTCAGTGAGTCAGTGAGTCAGTGAGTACGGTCAGGCTGGTTGCGGCCGCCAGCCGCTGACTGAGCCTGTCACGGAGCGGCAAACCGGCCGGTCCCCCGCCACCCGGACTCCGATGATTTCAGGCGGGGCGGCCCGGCGGCCCGGCGCCGGGCACTTGGAGGGCTAGTCGGGTGGGCCTCATCCCATCTCATATCCTGCAGACTTCCGCGCGCTCTCGGAGGGGCTCATGGCAAAATGGAAAGAAGCGAAGAAGAGAAGAAGAGAAGACAAGAAGAGAAGAGAAGAGAAGAACACAAGAACACAAGAAGGGAAGAGAACAGAAGAACAGAAGAACAGAAGAGAAGAACAGAAGAACACAAGAACACGAGAAGGGAAGAAGACAAGACAAGACAAGAAGAGAAGAACAGAAGAGAAGAGAAGAACAGTAGAGAAGAACAGAAGAAGAGAAGAGAACAGAAGAACAGAACAGAACAGAAGAAGACAAGACAAGACAAGACAAGACACGAGAACAGAACAGAACAGAAAGGGGAGGAGAGAAAAAGATGAGAAGGAAAAGAAGCATGTTGGTGCCAGAAGGAAAAGAAGGAAAGAAATGACAGGAGAGAATGTGGAGAGGGATGAGAGGGAGACAGTGCGATGACATCAAAACTCAAAAATACTCGAGGAAGACGGGTAAGATCGAAGGACAAACCATACATCGACTCGAGAGGATGGTACTTTGGATATGTTAGACATTGCGGTATGCAGACATACGATAGTTGAGGCGTTTCAAATCTGTGATGCTGCGTTCGATCTTTAATGCAATTCTTCAGGCCAACATTTCTTCGTATGAGTAACCTTTAGAGATCAAGATGCCAAAGAGATCTGTGGAGAATCTCAGGCTAGAAGGCGAATTGTACAGGCCTGTTGCTCACAGGATTCGTGATCCATTAGCGACTGGCGCAATTTTTCGGTGAGCTGAACATGACGTGGCTGTGAATGTATGTTGATCATTTTCTACGAAAGAGCATCGCCCGAGGCCCTGCGATCGCCGGTACCGAGGCTGCTTCCATCTGCATCTGCATCAGAGCGGCAATTTCATTCTCCTCTGAGCAAAGCTCAAGGTCCTGTTTGAGTTGGACTGCATCATGTGATTGAAAATGTTCAAATTGTGCAGACCAGAAGCTGCTTCAAGTAACTACAAGGTTCGATGAACTGTACAGCAAGAGTCCGACCCCCAAGGTCCTCCTTTCAAGATTGTCGGGTCTTGGACCTCAAAGGGACGAGAACAGCACGTTGAGTCCGAGCATCTCAAGGGTAAGTCTCAGAATTTAATGCAACATGCTCTGATTTCTAAGACGTGTTCCAGGAGAAGGAGATTTCCCGCATTGTTTCGCCCAGAGAAGGTGATTTCTGGTCATCTGGAAAATGGTTTTCTCAGAGATGGAATTTCTTTTACAGTCGAGAGGCTCAAAATGGACAGCTCGGGCTTTTCGACTCCTCGCAGCCGGTTGAATATTGTGAGATTTTGAGATGAGTGTGATGTCTTTTCGATAGAAACAATACTTCAAGGGTTCTGACGCCAACCTCGGCTCAATCTCCTTCCATGATGTCAGAAGACATGGAAATCATAGACGATAGCACTGAAAGGACTCCCGGAGACATTGAGTTCTTCAGTGTGCAGAAAGGTAATCAACGCTGTCTTCCATGGCAACAACTTGACTGGAATGTTGCGTTAGAATCGAACTCGAGGCATGGTAACAAACAAGATTGGATCACTCCGAATGCAGAAGGTCATGGGTACCGGACAAGGCGATCTCAGGGAGATTCTTTGCTTTCAGAGAGATCAACCCGTGAAAGGCAGGCACACAGCAGTTCAACAAATACAAGCAGCAGTTCAACAAATACAAGAAGCACAAAGAAGGAAAACACAGTTCAATCCAGTTTCAGGGGAGGCCAGATTACGCGAGAAAATGTCAAGGTCTTGAAGAATTGGATTGTTCGGCTCAAAACAAACTCGAAAGGAGAGACGGGAGTGATAGTGGAAGGATTCCTCGCTGAGTCTTCGACGGGAATCGCCAACGTCTCTGACAGATCGTTGCAGTGGCGGACAACATTCATTCATAAACGAGAGTCAGCTCTCCGACTCCGAACAAGCAGTGGGACTGTATACAAACTGCAGGGAGCGATGGCGAAAGAGGCAGCTTCGTCGGATAACGACCTCCCACCTGAGATCCTGAAGGAATTCAAAAACGGATTTCCCAAGAAATGGAAGGAGCTGGTCAGGCAGGCTGAAGTCATCATAGCGCTCAACTCTTTGCCGAAAACCCCAATAACTGAAGCCGAGAAGGAAGCGTTGTCTAAGAAGGGATCGGGTGCGTCGAAGGATCAAACTCCGCGCAGCAAGACTGGCGCCAAGTCGGAGCAGAAGCAGGAGATGAAAGTGCAGAGCGTCTCTGATCTCAAGTTGTCACGTAGCGGGAGGAAGCTTCAACCTCCCCGGGCCTACTGGCGTCAGGAGATTCCTGTGTATGAAACGAGTGGAGCAGAGAGAAACCTTGTTGCGGTCCTTCAAGGGTTTGAGGAGACTGTCTCCGTCAGGCCCAAATCTCCTGGCTCCAGTCGCAAGAGAACGCGTTCTGCTGTAAATGCGCAAGCCTCGAAGAAGGACTCAGCGAAGTCGACGAAGAGCGCAAAGCAGAAAATGGGCGTGAAAGGAGGAATAAGCAAATCGCAGGGGAAGGTTGGAAGAAAGGATAAGGTGATCAAAACGTCGAAAGCTGATGCTGCAAAGAAGAACTCAACTTCTAGGAGATCTCAAACCAAGCAAAGCAGAGCCGAGGGGGGCTCGAAGGATGAATCAAAATCAAAATCAAAATCAAAATCAAAATCAAAATCAAAATCAAATGATGAAACGGACACGCAGTCATTGCAGGATGATGATGAAATCGACTTGGCGGAGATTGAGGCTCTTCTAGCTGCTGACACGCAAAGACGTGCAGGCGGCGAGGAAGCAGACGGCAATGGGAACGAGTTGGATGGGACGGAAGAGGATGCTTGGGACGAAGAAAGCAAGGAGGCTCTCAAGGTAGCCTATCAACAGGTCAAACCTGATGCAGTGGACTTCTGGGATGAAGTGGCAAAACTTGTCCCAGGGAAGACAGCACAAGAGTGCTGCAACCAATACAACCAAGCGTTTCCCACTCCTAATGTGCTGAAAAAAAGTAAGGTCACTCGAAAGCGCGCAAGCTCCTCGCTGGAGAAGGAAGAAGGTGGAGCAGTGGGCGAGGGCGAGGGTCAGGGCGAGGGCGAAGGCGAGGGCGAGGGCGAGAAGGAGCAAGAGGTGAGTCTGGTAGAGGGACCTTGCTCTCTGTTGACTGAGCTGGCAGGAGGTCGATGGTCTTGTCCTCAAGGGGAACAAGGGCACCAACCAGCGCAAGCGAGAGCTGCGCAGCCTCTTGACCGAGGCGGACAAGGAGCATGACGATGACATCTTCGACTCGACCCCCTTCAAGAGCACGCCCTTCCGACAGCTCAAGAAAGCTGCCACTCTGTGGGCTCCCTCGGACGGCATCGGCGCCCCATCGCCCCTTGCTCCTCCCTCTGTACGAAACACCGTAAGGAGCAGCAGTCTTCCCAACGGAATGAGCCCAGGTGCTGAATCTCGTACAAGAGGAGGAGGGGGAGTGCGAGGGCAGAGGGAGAGGAGAGAGGTGTGTGGTCGGTGTCTCATGGGTTGACACAACAGGAGTTCTTCGAACGCCAGGGATTGAAGGGAGGAACGGAATGGATGCGTACATAGACAGGACGAGGTGAGGGAGAAGGACAGAGCGCGGGTGAGAAGCATATGATGAGCGCAACGAGCAGGGTGAGAGCGAGGACAAGGAACGCTTCCGCACGACCAGCAGCAGCAGCCTCAACCAAAGTTGCCTCTCCTACTGATGTACTCAGTTCACTTCACCCTCCCTTTCATGATTGCTTGCTGGCAGGGTCGGAAGCCTTTCATCAGCAGCAAGCAGGCGACGAGGCTGCTGGCAGCTGTAAAAGTGAGGAATACTCCTTGGGGCTCGACAGGCTGATGGTATTGCAGGAGGCGACCACCGACGAGCGAAGAGATTCGGACGAGGAGAGTGTAGCTTCGGAAGACTTGCACTAGGGAGGAGGCGCAGGAGAGCGAGGGAGGAAGGGAGGGTGACGAGGATAGAAAGGGAGTAAAAGGCAGTGAGAGGCTTGATATTACATCATGGTGGCTGCAAACGGTCATGGCAGCATTAAAGGTTCAATTCGAACCTCATCTCAACGTTGAATGAAAGTAGGAGAGTTTTTGCTCGCACGCGTTGATTCACGTCATTCACTGACACGCCATCCCCCTCATGCTCTCTCTGCCTCTCTCATGTTTCTTCCTTGGCGTTCTTTGCCTCCCAATTCTTCTTGTGATAATCCAGTGCTTCTTTCACATAATGCAGATCCTGCTCGAATCGATAGTTGATGATTGGGATGCCCTGTCCTGACTTCAACTGTTCCAGAATCTTCGCTTCCACCCTCTTGTACTCCTGCAACAACATGTGGGTCAGAAACTACAGATCGAGCTACCAAGAGAAGCTGATTCGATCTCTAACCTCTTGCTCTTCCGCGCGAATCTCCTGATCCACCGCTTTGTACGCCTCCTCCTGCTCCATCCCTTGCTCCATGAGCGCCCGCCACTTCTTGATGAATCTGAAGTGCCTGGTCAACTTTCCTGTCTTTCTCGCCATTTCGTCCATCATCATGGGTTCGTCTTTGTACCCTGGGTTCCTCCTCTTATAGATCTTGAACAGGTCCTCGTCGTCAAACACCAACTTCTTGACCTTGGGGAAACGAGTCGGGATGGGAGGGGGCATGCAAATCCTCATTGGCTCGTACCAGGAAGGCTCTGGCATCACTTTCCCCTTGAGAAGGTTTTCAACTTTGGCCAGCAGCGCTCGCCCCCCCTGAAATGCCGATCGCCCTCCTGAGCGGTATTTCCCCATCGCGGAGCGGCTTGTGCGGCAGGTTTGGATGGTTTGTTCCAAAAAGTCCATCAAATATTCAAATTTCAAAGGACCAAATTAAAACTTGCAGTCTGCGGTTTAGTTTTTGAAGCACGCCTCAGGATAACAGATAGGAAAGTAGGAGTACAGCTTGATCGAATAGTTGATAAAATATCTTTCAGAATTTGCTGCCTTAACGTGCCGCCAGCAGATGGCCGAGAAGGCACTGAGTCAAGTTCAGTGTAAAGAGCATGTCGATCATTGTTAAGTTGCATAAGAGAGACTGGGAACATCAGAGTCTTCAAGGAAAGAATCAATTCACTTTGATAAAGTACTGAAGAATAAAGAAACAATAACTACAAACTAGGTGCACCAGTCACTGGCTGAAAGAAAACTGTGCGTTATCAACATATCACATTCTCATCAGTTATGTCCCACTCAAGGCAGGATGCTGCTAAACTCCGACGCTGAAGTTGCGGGCGTGCTTCCCGCATTCGTCTCCCTAAACTGAGCAAAGAATTCATGTAGGTTCTGTGTATGGTTGGCGTGTGCCCGGACCGCGTCTCCTTGCCTTCCTTTGCCCGACTCTGACGCATTTTGTCTCTTGTGAACATGGACAGAAAACTCACAGAAGTCCAATTTCGGGGTCCAGGCGCCCGCGCTCGATGCGATGTCAGCGACGCTGTTGGGCGACCGATCTCCCGGGGACTTGTACGAACATTCAAACAGCTCTTCAAAGAAGCACGCCGGGGAACGGCACTCGGGGACTTCCAACTCCAGATTGTCTCGGGCGATTTCGAAGTCCGACATCTCCTCGATCCAATGGTCTCTTGTGCTCTGATTGAACATGGAAGCTTGAAGGAATCTCACTTCTTCTCCTGTGTGTGGCAGGTCCAGAAGGGGACAGGTCCTTTCGGCACCTAGCGACCCGTGTCAACAAACGGCGGTGAAATGGGGGGTGTCAATCTCACCATCTTCGAGTTCCATGGCGAATGCGAGTTCAGACAATGATTCCTCATGCTGAGATTCGAAATCCATTGATGATCTTCTATCAAACATGTCCCTCAGAGTAGAAGGTTGCGACAACTATGTTGTCCGAAGCGAAGCTGGCCAGGAGACCGTTTGTTGTTCCTTCTGAGATTGGTCAGCAAGGCAAAGCAGTTGCTGTCGGCTTATGTAGCTGCTGTCAGGAGACTCCAATCATACAAAGTTGGCTGTAGCACAAACTGACGGGGATTCGCTGCAGCTTTCACTGGTGTCGCCGAAATGGTGGCGCAATCGTCGTATGAGAAGGGTACAGATGAGGAAGAGGAGGCCAAGTGGTCAAAGAAGATGAGATGAGAGAGGATGAGCGGATCTCTGACGAGGAATGACAGAGGACGAGGGCGAACTATAAGAGGAGAGCGAGGGGGGATGGGAGGACGAACACGGGGGCGTAGCAACTACTTTCTACGTCGAAACAGGAGGAGGTCGGAAGTTTCGCCCCCTTCTTTTCACAGAGCACCTTAGGGTGGGGTGGTCATTTTCTGTGATGGGTCCGGGTACCACCCCTAGTGGATTGACACTAAGGTTTACCCTCCCAAATTCCCGTATATCACTGAGAAAATGCTGGGTATCGCAAGGGAAAATCTTTCTGAAGTGGGTAGGGGTCTCTTGAGTTAGGGTGCCGAAGAATTCGAAGGGGTCCTGGTCCAATTCGGGGATTGTGGGGGTGTTTTAATGATTCCACTAGGGGTAGTAACAGTCCAGCAAGAGGGGTGGGTGCTCTGTTCTTGGTTTCATCTCCTATCCACCCACCCACCCCTACCCCACATCAACAATTTTGAACCGAACCTTCAAAACTAAATGGAATTCCTTTACTACCCCATCTCTATACCAAAACTACCCCACCTATTGACTGATTCCGAGGCACCATGGTTGACAGATTGAAGTAGAGGGGTGTATACGAGATACACCGTCACCTTCGTGGCAGTCGTTGTGCGGGCAGGGAGTCGCTATCATGGCCTTTCAACATACAACATCTCATAAGTGAAGCAATAAGAAATATTACCCTACCTCGAGCCTCTCCGATTCGACTGACACCTGGGTCGTGCCTTGTGCAGACCCAGGCGTACTCCCAGCCATAAACCCACCCCACCCACCCAATTGACTCTAGGATCAACTTCTCCCCACCCACCCCGTAGGTGCCACATCAGCCTTCTGTCAACCTGAGTACCCACCGGTCCTACTCCGATACACCTCTACCGTGCCAGCCCCCGTTCGTGCCACGGCATAAAGATCATCTGGTATAAAACTACTTTTAGATTCTTCCAGAGTTCAGGTACAAATATAAAACTTAATGTGGAGGGATTACAGGGCATATCAGTACCACTCCACGTATCTGACCAGTATGTTGTACAGATTGTAGACTAAAAAAAAGAAACTTCTGGTAGTAATTCTTCTCAAAATATTTGTATCCATTTGTACTGTTTCATCTGGCACTGCTGGCAGCCCCCAAATGCCACCCCCACCCCCACCCCACCCCGTGTATCAAGCGTACCTCATCACCCTTCCCCAGGCTCCGAAATTCCACCATCCGGTCGTAATTTTTGCTGAAGATCACGTGCATTGGTTGTAAACTCAAATCTCGTCGCTTCCACTTGAGATACGCCCGCAAGCTGTAGTAATTCCCTGACGAACACGAATAAATATATATGCATACTGAAGAAATAATGTTTCGGTTTTTATATAGTATTAATGGATCTGACAGTCAGTAGAACCCCAGCGTTTCACTGAAAAACAACAGACGACCTCCGTATTCTTCAATATGTTTTTTTTAAAAAACTTACACCTGGCCCCCGAAAAGGCATCGTCTCGTGACCCCTTCGCACTCAGGCTCCCCTCAGTCACCTTGGCTTGATGGGCCCGCCTCACGAATATCCGTCAGTCACTCGGAATGCCGGCCCCGGTCCCCAGCATCCCCGGCCGGTGACCAGAATGCCCAGCATGCTGGTCACAACAAAGATGTAGTCTCCTCCTCCTCCTCCTCCTCTCTCCTCTCTCCTCCACCTCCACCTCCTCCACCTCCTCCTCTCTCCTACTCCTACTCCTACTCTTCTCAATACTCTCACTCATCATCTTCTCCCTCCTTCTCCTCCTCCACTCACTCCTCTAAAAATCCCAGCCAACGATCTAGCGCCCTCCACGTCCTTTGTTTCTGCTTCTCCTGGCCCAGCTCCTATCTCTTCCCCGTCCCCCCTCCCATCCTTGCGCTACTCCCTATCCTGCCTCCCATTTCTTGCTGTCGGGGTTCTGGATCCCTCCCCCCTCGTCTCCAAGTCTGCGGGCCATGGATGTCAGAAAGCTCAACCCCTACGTGCTGCCGTCTGGCGACGTGCGCAGAGGTGAGAACAATCCTTACCCTCCATCCGACTCGCTCGCGTTGTCTAGCTCTGTGACCATGGTTCCCGTCCTCGGCCCTTCCTTGTGCTGTTTCTTCCCCTCCACTAGCCGCTGATGCCTGTCCAGTGTACCAGACCAGACTGAACCGGGGAACACGCCTCCCGTCCTCCTGCGCAACCCTGAGACGCCTTTCTTTGACCCCTTCAATCACTACTTCGCAAACTCCAATGCGGTGGAGGATAGCTTCGCCGACCCCTCGCTCCCAGGAGGCTGGACCGCCCTGCATGCGGCGGCACAGGCCAAGGAAGCGGGACCGCACGAGGAGAGGAGGAGGGTGGAAGGCGACCTGGAGGAGATGAGATTCCTGCTGCAGGGTCTCGGACACCATGTTCCTCCCCAACTATCGCACCCCCATGCCGTCTCCCCCAAGATTGATGTCAACACTGCCACCTCCTCCAGCCGCCTGACGCCGCTCCATGTGGCTGTGATGGCGGGGCATGCGGAAGCCGTCTCCCTCCTCCTCAACAGCAGCGCCAACATCTTCTTGCAAGACATGCTGGGAAGGACGGCGCTTCACTATGCAAGCGAGCGGGGGTATGAAGGGTGCGCCATGGCGTTGCTCTCAGCGGAGCAAGGAGCAAGGAAAGGGCGCCTGTGGGTGCGGGTGGAGGATGGGGTAGCAGATGCCAAGAGGATGGCGCCAAACATGACGTTGCTGGTGAGCATCAGCCACACGCTAGCAGGAGAGAGGCTGCGAACCTTGCAGTATCCTCTGCATACCCGAGGAACAAGTTTTGTCTGGGAGGTGGAGGCGACGTTGGACGACTGCTGGGAGGAGGGGGAAGTAGTTGTGGAGGTGAGCAGCAAGGATGTGCAAGGGAAGGCCTCTGCTCACTCCTCCTGGTCCTCCCCGTTGATCGAGCTGCGTCCAGAGCAGGAGGTGAGAGCGGAGCTGCAAGGGGAGGAGGACAAGGGCGCGCGGGTCGTCTCGTCGCTGCTGATGCGGGTGACGTTTGAGAGGTTCGTCAACCTGCAAGACAACGAGGGCAACACAGCGCTCATGCTGGCTGCCGCGAACGGCAGGCAGGAGATCGTGCGTCTCCTGCTCTCCCTTGGGTAGCCTCCCTCCTCCGTTCCCGCCTCCTAACCCAACGTCCCCTCCCTCTGCTCTCTCGCTCCTGCTCCTGCTCCTGCTCCTGCTCCTGCTCCTGCTCCTGCTCTGACTCTTCCCCTTACTCCCCCTTCGCACGCCCAGCATCATCCCCTCTCCCAGCTCTCCTCCTCCCATTCTCACTTGAGCATCTCCAGGGCTGATCCCAACAAGAAGGACGTGTTCCAAATGAGCGCAGGTTTTCTACCTGTCTCTTCCCCCTCTCCTCTTGATCCCGCTTGCGCTCCTGCCTTCTTTCCTGCTCCTGCTCCTGCTCCTGCTCCTGCTCCTGCTCCTGCTCCTGCTCCTGCTCCTGCTCCTCCTCCAGTCTCCCGCTCACCTGAACTTGCAGTGGCTCTAGCGGCTCTTGCCGGCCATGCTCAAGTGTGCAAGACGATCGAAGAAGTAGGAGGGGAGTGGTGAAAACAAACTCCTGCAGCGCGACCTCTTCCTCGTCTCGCCCCCTCCCCCCCCCCTCTTCCTCCCCTTGCTCCTCCGTCCTGTTGTCTGCTGTGTACCCTGCTCTTCCCTCCCTCTGCTCTCATCTTCTCCTCGCCCTCTCTCGACTTCTTCCAGTCGTCCCTTTGCACTTTTCATTTCCGCTATTTCTCTTGTTGTTGCCGAAACCCATGTACTATACAAAGAAGATGCGCTTTCTAGCATATTGCGATAAATCCTCGAAAACGAGCCCTGCCTCCTGCCTCCTGCCTCCTGCCTCCTGCCTCCTGCCTCCTGCCTCCTGCCTCCTCCTCTCGTCCCCCCTCATCGTCATCATCTTTCGTCACCCATGTTTCCCTCTCCTTCTCCTGCGTCTCTCCTTCAGCCTTTCTGCCACCTCCCGCCTTCCCCATGAATCCATCCCCTCTGACGCAAGTGTCCTCCTTCCATCAACTTTCACTCTCCTCGAGCAGTGGAGCTTGCGTGACTGCCAGCAGCGTCAGCAGCAAGCAGGAGAGGAAGGAGAACCTTTCCTCCTGCATCAGGTCGGCGGCAGGCAGAGGGAGAGAGGAAGACGTAGGCGAACGTAGCAGCGACAATGCAGACGATGAGGATGAGGAGGAGGTTAATGAAGCCGAATATCCCAGCATGAGATGCATCTCTGCCGACGAGCTCAGGTTTCTCCCATCGCTCCCTGTCCTCCCTCCTCTCCTCTCCCTCCTCCCTCAACTTCCTCCTCCCTTCCCTCTCCTTGTCTCCTCACCTTGTGTGTAGGATGTCGTCAAAGACAGACGCGAGGTAGAGTGGCTCCGAGTCGTTCACGGGAACTTGACCCTGCTGTCTGCGTAAGGGCAGGGAGAAGAGGACGAAGAAGAGAGCGAAGAAAGAGCGGCGGCAGCAACAGGATTGAGGAATGCAAGTAGCAGGGAGGACTGCAAGCTGGAAAACGAAGCAAGGAGGAGGACGAGGAGGACGAGGACGAGGAGGACGAGGAGGACGAGGAGGACGAGGAGGACGAGGAGGAAGAGGAGGACGAGGAGGACGAGGAGGACGAGGAGGACGAGGAGGACGAGGAGGACGAGGAGGACGAGGAGGAAGAGGAGGAAGAGGAGGACGAGCTGACGCAACCTCGAACTTGATGCTCCAGAACATGAGGCCTCGAGGAGCAAGCGCCTTGGCCTCCATTGCTGCATACGCCCTGTGGATCTATCATGAGTCTTGCAGAACGAAGAGGCAGGAACAGGAGCAGAGACATGGGTTGGAGGAGAAGGAGGACGAGGACGAGGACGAGGACGAGAAGGACGAGGACGAGGACGAGAAGGACGAGGACGAGGACGAGAAGGACGAGGACGAGGACGAGGACGAGGACGAGAAGAACGAGGACGAGGACGAGGACGAGCAAAGGAGGAGGAGGAGGAGGAGGAGGAGGAGGAGGAGCAACGGAGAAAAGTCGATTGCCAACTTTTTGATCTGCCCTGCGGTAAGGAACAGAGTCCTGATCGGTCGACCGACTCCAGCCCCTGACAGGAAGGGGTCATGCATCCTCAGGCGACGATTGCTCTCACATGCGTTTGCGAGTCCCAGGACCACCTGGACACACGTTAACGAGGACAAGAAGGAAGGGGACGAAGAGGATGAGTTGCGAGGAGTGTGGGAGGAGATATACAGGGAGCGAGAGGGAAGTTGAGGGAGTAGAAGCAAGAGGAGGAGGAGGAGAGGGGAGGGGAAGGGAAGGAGAAGGGAGGAGGTGCCGTGCCTGGCTCTTGTTGAGACAAATCTTTCGCTTCCCCATCCACGACAACTGACAGGAGGTGAGGAGTGAAGTGAAGATGATAAAGTACCTGACGGTCAGAGGAAAAGTCCACAGTCCATCCATCGACGAACGCATTCATGAGCTGAGGGGGAGGAGGATATTCAGCAAGGAGAGAAAAGGTAGGAAGGGGCGAGAGGAGGAGGATGAAGAGCGGAAAGCCATGCAAGGGAGTGATAGGAGAAGGAAGGGGAAGGAAGGAGCGAGTGAGTGAGTGAAGGAGTGAGTGAGTGAGTGAAGGAGGGAGGGAGGGAGGGAGGGAGGGAGGGAGGGAGGGAGGGAGGGAGTTTTACCTCAGTGAAATATTTTGCCGGGTCCGATTTCTTCTGGTAGATGGCGAAGTTGGCATGACTGTAGGACTCGTAGAGCTGAATGGATATCCAATCGAAGGTCAGTATCTTCTTCTTTGCCATCGCCTGCTCCCTCCGCTCCAGCTCCCCCTCCTTCCTCCTCCCCGTGACCTCTGACTCCCCGTACACCTCGAGCACGTACGCAAGGGTCTGAGCAGGAGCGTCAAGGTCCCTCGGGTGAGGGGAAGGTAGTGGCTCACGTTTCTTCCATGGAAGCGAAACCCCGGCTCCAGCCCTTCCCACTCGTTGTACGACTGCAGCAGCGAGCGATTGTAGGCGCTGGTGGAGGGATCGAGGTAGGACTCCATGGCGGATAGAGAGGCCAGGTATCCATCCTTTTTGGCAAGCTACAGCACGATGGCTGTCAGTCAACTCCTATGATACACGGCCTCTTTCTCTTCCCTCTCCCCTCTCCCCTCTCCCCTCTCCCCTCTCCTTCCGCATTCCTACATTCTCCATGTTCCCCTCTCCTCCCTCTCCTGCTCTTTTCCTCTCTTCCCCTCATCTTCATCCTTTCTTTTGCCCCTCCTCCCCTCGGACCTTCTTTTCCCCTCCTGCGCTCTTTCTTGCCCCCTATCCTCCCCTCCTCCTCCCCTCCTCCCCTCCCCTCCTCCTCTCGCTCTACCTGTGAAACCTTTCCCATGAGGTCCATCACCTCCACAGTCATCACGTTTGACGGACTTTCCTCTGTGTCCGACCCCTCCACATCCCAGTCGATCCCGTCGTAGCCGGCGAAGCCGATCTGCGGCCTAGCCACCTCCTCCTCGTTCCACTTCTTCCACACAGCCCATACCTGCTCTACTGTGTCACTGAGAAGATGAAGAAAACGAGGAGGAGGAGGAGGAGGAGGAGGAGGAGGAGGAAGAGGGGGAGGAGGAGGCAGCTTTCCTTCTCTGCAGAGTTGGAGGTGTCGGGATGGGGCTGATCCCAGCCTCCGACACTGATCATGTGCAAAGTCTTCATCTTCTTCGCTTCGAGCTCGCTCGCGATCATGGCTGAAACGAGGACAAGTGTTAGTGCGATCGCAACGCCGCAAGGTTCAGCTCCAGTATCTCTGATCTGAAAGAGGTGGGATGATGGTGAGTTGCGAAGGTGAGTATCGCCATCAAACAGCTCATGAGAACAAAACGCACATACATGATGATTGCAAACAAGAGGGGAAAGAATTTCTACACGATTGTCGACCTATCGGGTCAAACATTGTGTCTGCTTAGCAATGTGGGCTTCAACTTACCAACACAATTCGGGTCTGGACCTCCCAAGCTGAGGAGAGGTACGTCATCTCATCGCATCTTGACTCGAATATCTTACATCATCGGTTCGCCGGAGGTAAAGTTCCGACGGATGTTGATAGAAAACCACATGATCACGTTGCAGCCCTTTCGTGACAAGTGAGAATGAGCAAGGAGAACTTCACAAGCCCGGTCCGTCACTGACCTGCTTAGCTGCTGTCAAGACTTTAGAGTCGCACTCCTGCCAGTCTGCATAGCATGCAGAGATGTGTGCCGGCAGCTTCCTTCCGCTCCTCCATCGCGTTCGTCGCACGGTGTAGCTCTTTGTATCGCTGCCAGCCCTGCCTGCCTCCTGTCTTCCTCTCATCTCCCCCTGCTGCAACTTCGCTCCTCCTCTCTGCCATTCTCCCCTTCCTTCCTCTCCTCTTGCCGCCTGGACTGCCACGAGCGCGGCGGCCAACGCCATGAGAAACAAGCGTTTCGTCGCCATTGCGAACAAACTCAATTGTTACTTTATTAATTGAGTAAACTTTAGAGTTACAAAAATCTCTCAGGAAAGCTACCAGGAACTGTACCAGGAAACCTACAGCAAAGACATGTATGTGAGGGGATGAGGGCGAGAGATGTCATATAGGGGATGAGGGCCATGTTAACCTTCGAAAACTGGCGGGTGAAGGCTTGTTGAACATGGTGGGAGGAGAGGGAAGAGAGGAGAGAGGAGAGAGGAGAGAGGAGAGAGGAGAGAGGAGAGAGGAGAGAAGAGAGAGGAGAGAGGAGAGGGCAGAGAGGATAGAGTATAGAGGAGAGAGGAGAGAAGAGAGGGGAGAGAGGAGAGGGGAGAGATGATATGAGAAGAAGTAGGAGCAGGAGGACGAGGACTGCAGGAAGATAACGTGAGGAAGAGCATCGTGAGAGTAAGAGAATTATGTTCTGGGGTTCGGATGGCAAAAAGTCGAGGGGTTTCAAGTGCGATGTTGATGAGCAGGCAGGATCAGGGACAGGAGGTGCGCAACTCGGTATTATGGTGAAGGAGCCTTCCATTTTAGTCACCGCCCTGCTGATGCTCCAGGGCGAGAAGAGAATGTATAGGCTTCTATGAATCAGAATAGATACATCCCCAAGTTCAGTGGAAGTAGCATCAACTCCTATCCTTCAAAATGAGTTGTAGATGCTGTTGACAACCGCGGTTTCGAGGTGTAAAGGATGGAAATTGACGAGATTGGCAGGATGGGAGTACAAATTCGATGATGTCGGGCGGGCGGGTCTGCAGTTGAAACGATCCCCCACCCGTTATCATGAGTGTCCGACCGCGTGCGGAGACGGCCGTGCGGAGACTTCGATGGAAAAGCGACTTTGAGAAGAAGTGTCTTGTTTCTAACTTCGAGAGGAGGGGATGGAGAAAGGTAATGGACGACGAGGATGAGTACTGGAATTTGTACTGGGCCAGCAAAGGAACGCACCTCTCTCCTCTGATGATGAGGTTGGGGGAAGACCAGATGGTGAATCATTATCCCAACCATTATGAGCTCACACGAAAGGATCTGGTTGTCAAGAACATCAAGAAGTACAGGAAAGAGATGGAGAGGGCGGGGAGGGGGCATGAGGTCGATGACATAGTTCCTGTTACCTTTGTGCTTCCCAACGACTATCCTCTGTTTGTTGAAGAGTTCCGGAGGGTGGAGGCCGAACAGGGAAAGTCCACGTGGATCATGAAGCCATGCGCCAAGTGTCAGGGCGTAGGGATCTTCCTCATCAGCAAGCTGTCTCAGATCAAGAAGTGGGCAGTGAAGAACGGAGAGGCTACCGGGAGAGATCAGTACGTCGTGTCCAGATACATCGACCATCCACTGCTGGTCGGTGGAAGGAAGTTTGACCTTCGAATCTACGTGCTCGTCACGAATTACAATCCTTTGCGAGCATACCTGCACTCGCAAGGTTTTGCGAGGTTCTGTACAGCGAAATATTCGTCATCCCCAACGGACTTAGACAATATCTTGATGCATCTCACGAATGTGGCGGTTCAGAAGCAGGCAGAGGAATACAATGAAGATCATGGAGGAAAGTGGCATATCAAGAACTTAAGACTGTGGCTGCAGGTCAATCAATCGTGCTGTCAGAGCATGGCAAGATCGGGTTCTCCTCTAGGTACTGACAGTGCAACAGGCGATTTATGGACAGGAGCGAACGGAATCTTGTTTCCATCAGATCCGCTCGTTGATATATCACAGCCTCAAGGCTACCCAGAGCATCATCATCAATGATAAGCACTGCTTCGAGGTCAGTCAGCCTGCGCTCCTCCCTCTGCTGACTTCGGTTCTCTAGCTGTATGGTTATGACGTCCTCCTTGACGCCAATCTCAAGCCATGGCTGATAGAGGTTTGATGGTCACATCGAGCCTCCCGAGGGTAATGGCTCATTAGGTGAATGCGTCTCCTTCACTCTCAGCGACTACATCCAACGACTTGACGCTGAAGACTGGTACGGACACGTGTATGCTTATTCTCTCGCTCATCAGTTCTCTCAGGGGTTATCAATGATGTTCTTAACATCGTCTTCCCTGATCAGTTTCCTGAAGTGAACAAGAACAATAACAGTACGACTTCTACTACTTCGAAACTCCCTTGGTGACCTGACTTACTGCTAGGAGGAGACGATTGTTGGCGACAAGGAGGTTTCTTCCCCCTTGTAGATGAGCTCACGGGTGCGCAAGGCTATCAGAGCTTAAGGATGAACTGGCCGTGATTGGCTACTTTCACTGTCTCGAGTCCTTCAAGACTTCTCTTGCCAGGAATGTCCAGTGGTATATCAAATCAGGGCCATGATGTTAGATAGAACATGTTGGGAACACGAATCTCTCAATCCATCTCTCAATCCATCACAATGCACAAACCTATAATGGCATTTTTTTGCTAGTGTGCTCTGCCGCACTTCAGGACAGGTTGGGGTTTGACGTGATTCCTACTTGAAGCGTGGAGCAGTTTAAACGATATGGTTTTTCATTCACTTGTTGCCGTTGTCAGCCTTCTGTTCATGCGTTTGAGGTTCTGGCTCTTTCTTCGCTTCCTTGTCTTTCGCTGCTCCTTCTTGCTCGTCATCGTCCTCTTCTTCGTCGTCTTCCTGCTCGTCATCTCCCGCAAGGAATTCTTTATAGTGCTCAGGGTGCTCGGCGAAGCACATCTGCATCGCTTTAAAGCTTTCCAAGCAATCCGCCCCTCGTTCCTCCTCTTTGCTGTCAAGAAAGCATCGATACCTGGGTATCACGCAGTCAGCCAAACGCAATCATCCCGCCACATGTGGTGATAAGCAGACGGGACAGCAGGTACACGACAGAGAACATGCTAATGGAGCAGATGCACATCTTTCGAATTTAAAACATAAACATTCATGCACGGGGAGAGGAGAAGAGACTGAGGATATCCGCGGTAAACCCACAATGCAGAGGGGGGGGATTTACGAGGACAGGAAAGGAAACTCACGCAACTACAAACTTGTCGCCGCAGGGCCCCTCCTTCATGTGCTGGATGCAAGGACAATCCAAGGGGTCTCCCTGGTACTTCTCCGCCTCCGCCATGCCCTCCTCTAAGCTCTTCGGCTCCCCCTCGCCCTGCGCCGCCATGCTCGCGCCTAGCCTTGGGACAGGGTGTGAATGACTTTCAAGGGGGTGGGTGTTTGCAAATGACGGGTGGGTGGTCATTTGGTGGTAGTAAAAGCTGTGGCTGTAGTCTAGTGAGGGTGGGTAGAGGTCAGCAACGAAAGGTGGTGGTAGGGGTACAAGTGGTCCTCGGGTAGGGTGGGTGGGATTGGGCGCAGTGCGGGGGACGAGGCCCACGAGGAGCCTGATGACGTAAAAGCTGGTGACGGGGTAGGGGTAGGGGGTAGGGAGTCAGAAGGAGGGGTAGTAATGATAGAAAAAGTGGGGTGGTGGGTATTGCTTTCTAGAAAGACCCCAATGAGTCCTATAGTCAAATATTCATGTCCATAGTCAAATAAAGTCTCAAACTTTGCCATCATCAGAAACTTTGTCACAAAGTTTGCGGCCTCGTTCTTGCCAAAACTTGAGGCCTCCCTGAGGTGCTGCGCTGCGATGCTGGAAATCCTGTGCCGCGCGGGGCATGGTCGGCCAGGGAAGAATGCATACGAGCGTAAGTTTGCATGCTGCCAGTAACAGAGATGATGTACGCTGCTGTTGCGTGATGCCTGATGGGACCTGACTAGGCTGAGACCTTAGTTGTGAAGTTTACAAATGATAGCATGAGTAGTTTAATGATTGCCATTGGCATGGCCAATGCTTGTGTGAACAAGTCAAACAGTCTCGGAAGAGAGCAGGAGCTTGAAAAAGATAGGATTGTACCTCGAATGTGCCAAGTACAGATGGTAGCAATCAAACTTCGTAGGAGAGTGCCTGTTAGTTCGCAGCGGCTGAGAAATCATGCGAAGGGTCATCTGATCAATTCGCAAGCATGATGACTCTTGTGGAGGGGATTTCATGTGTAGCATCTTTCCTCCTCCTCTCAGACGTACTGATGACGAACATTCAGCATGCCATACTGCGAGCTGGTACCTTGACCCCAAGAACGTCCCCGGTGGTGCTGACGAAGGGATCATCGCCCTAAAGCCCCGCCAGAAGCCATCGTGGCGATCGTGATGCGCCGAAGAAGTTATTCTTTCCTTATAACAGCATTTTCGCTAGAGCTGCTACATGAACATCCTTGCAACAAGAGAGAGACTTCTTGCTCACACGTGTGAAGGAAGATAACTGTCGACTATCCCCTGTCTTTGAACACCCTCCCCTTCCCCCTTGAACAATGTTTCTTCTTGTTCATTCAAGCTATCAAAGACACGCGACCGTGGGAACATGTGCTGGAAGATCCCCGCGTATCGCAAGCATGTCCACCATCATGACCTGCTAGCATCCGACTCGTTAGGTCCCATCCCTCCCGCCTCGAAGAATTCCACCTCGAGCTTCTTTCCTCCTTGATCACGGAAGAGGCCGTTGGGGGAGGAGGAGGAAGTAAAGTACTTCTCCTGCGCTGCTGCCTCCTCTACTGCCTCTGCCGTGCTCTGTGCTGCGGATTCGAAGATGGTTCCGACGCTGGAGGCTCGGAAGGAATCGAAGAGGAAAGGCTCGTCGCAGGTGGAAGGATGGAGCGCTTGCTGCGGCGGTTCTTCGGGGGCTGGCTGGAAGTTGGGAGGAGGCTCATTCCTCGGTGGCTCGAGCACGAGGACGCTCTCCTCCATGGAGCCGTCCGACGATCCGGCATGCCCGTTGACCGCGGCGAACACGTCCTCCGCTCTTCTCCTCACCTCCATCGTTACTCGAGATCCTGCTGGGATCTTTGCCTGCTCGTTAGCATCCAAAGAAGCGGTGGCGACAGGCACGTACCTGCTGCTGTCCGAGGAGACGTAGAAGCTCTTTGAGCGGCTGGGCCTTCGGGTCGACGAAGAGGCCCCCATCGTTTGGGAGAAAGGTCTGCCCTGATGTGAGGAGATGTGAGGATGAAGTGTGGAAGACCTTGTGAAGATCCTGAGAGTCTGAAGTGAAGTCAAGGATGATCCCGTCCAAGGTCGGGTCCCCCTGTGCGAGCTGCAGGAGCTGAAAGAGCTTTAGGATCGAGTGTGCTGGTAGGGTCTCTGTTACCTCTAGCAAGTTCGCACTGAGAAGAACTGAGGCAGACGAACTGAAGTCCAGCTGCGGGTTGGACAGGATGATGTCTACCAGGCCTAGCTGAGAGGCGGAGGAGGATGGCGAAGTCTGGAGAAAGTGAGGAAAAACGCCTGAAGGCACAAAACTCAGACCTGCTTCTGCTCCTTGTCCGTGTCGGAATTCCTCGAGCTGAAATGTGTAGACAATTCTGTCCGTTCTCTAGACTCCATCCCGCCTACAGCAACGGGGAAGGCAGAGATTCCTGCTTCCCTCCTCCCCTCATCCCTTTCTGCTGTCCTCCTCGTGCTATCGGTTGACACTGGAGCCTCCGCAGGTGCACTGCTTCTTGCAACCTGGCCGCTCCGTATTGAGTTTCTCTCTACCTGCTGCACCGGTTCATGTGTAGTGCCCCCCAGCTTGATGGAGAGGAAGGCAAAGAAGACTCCTCCGAAGATGTAAGCCACTGACATGATCAGCTCTGCGAGCTCGCGCGAGCTGGTGTTGCTCAAGATCCCAGCTGCCAGGCGAAGGCCGAAATAAAGGAATCCGAAGAAGACCGGGTACTCCGTGAAAATCCACTCCCAGCCAAAGGAAGAGAACTTCTGGTTAGAAAGAAAGAGTTTCCATACCAGCAGGACTAAGTAGCTGAAGCTCAGAAGCATGTCTTGGAAGAGATGGAACGGATCGATGCTGCCTTTGGTCAACGTAAGGTTCGCCAGGTCAGACGCCTCTTCTTCTGTGCTCCAACTCGAATTCTTGATCGCGTATAAGGTCTTAGCCGTGTCTATCATCAGGACTGCAGCGCAGATTGAGCTCAACAGCTGGACGGCTGAGAAGTCTCTGGACTCTGACAGACGTGAATGATTCAGGTTGACGGAGCCTGCCAGGACGAGGAGGAAGAACCCTTCTATCAGCCTGACGCTGAACCGAACAAGCTGCAAGTCTTGTCCCCAAGTATCCACTGAGAAAGACGCCATGTACAGGGCAAACAAGGCGAAGCTAATCAGCGACAGAGAGGGCAGCGAGAACCAAAGACAGGCAGAGCATCGGTCCGATCGAGCGCAATGCTGATTTTTCTTCTGCTCTACAAATTGCTGCTCCAGCAAAGAGAGCATTCTCTCCATCTCATTCATCTTCTCTTGATGGCCAGAAAACTTGTCCACGAGAATTTCGAGGGTGCTCTGCGTTTGCTCGAAGACAGACTCCAGGCTCTGGACGCGCTGGTTGACCTCCCATGCAGCCATCGCCATGCTCTGATGGTCATCCTGCAAGTCCAGAGGAGCTGAGACGTTGACTGAGCTTGACAGCATCTGCTCCGACGTGGCTGCCCTGTGTTGAGGGCTCAATGGATTCGACGACCCACTCATTCCTCCTTGAGCTCCCTGAATGGATGGCGTCAGGAGCGATCAGGCAAGAACCGCCTCCAAGTCCCGGGGCGTGAGAAAAGAAGAACTCCTCTGCCTTCTTCCCGCTTCACAGTCTACCATACTCGATACTTCCTATCCTTCACTCGCATACATACGCTCCGACCGTTTCATCTTGGTAGCTTCTGGTCTGCCTCTCTCTAACTTTGTCATCCCCTCCTTTCTATCATTCCAGTCAGTCTACTGCTGTCGCACCCCTCTTGTATTACATGAAGATTATTCAGCCATACGAGGTCTCCAGTTCTCCCCTGATACTCGTTTTCTGATATTCTTTCTCCTGCTCTTCCTCTACAGAACGAGTTTCACACGCATCCTGCCCATCGATCACACCCTCTCCGCTTCCTCTTCTCCTTGCCTCGCCGCGTCATGTCTCTCCTCCCTCCTCTCCATCTTCCTCCCTCCTCCCGCATGGTCGCGTGTAGCATGTTATTCCTTCGGTTCATCTAAGTTGTCATTTTCTTCATCACCCGGCAACTACCAACCCCCTCCTTTGCATACCTTCCCACTTACATACCCCTGATATTACTGTTCAAAGCACCCGTACTAATAGGAAAAAGAAGTACCCACCCGTGGAGTTTGACCACCCCTAGAGTTCAAACCCCCTGATACGTTTGACTCCCGAGTAGCGCCTGAGCTTCAAATTGAACCTCATCCCTCCTCTGACCGAGCTGCGGCGACCCGGTCACTGGGGTGACGGTGACCGGCCCGGTGACCGGCCGCCGCACCGTGCGCCGCGGCAGCCGCCCCGGGCCGGCCCGGCCCTGGGCCGGGCCAGACGGTCACGGTCACTGTCCGAGTCACACGGTCACCCCCCGAGTCGGAGGCTACACCGTCGGGGGTGTAGAACTGATTACTCAAAGTGATACTATATTCGAATTGACGGGGGGGGGGGGCGCCTCTGAGTCTGCCGGGCGGCCGGGTCGTGCAATCATAGTAAAGGAAGTACTACTGACTTGATATTAGATAAATCCCCCCCCCCCCCTCTCAGGCTTCTCCGACCGGGCCGCACGGTGACGCACGTTTGCAAAAGGAGTATCGTTTAGGTTTATGCTAGAAAATCCAAGGTTTATGGTAATTAAAGCAGCCTAAGTGCCATGATCGGATGGCAGTTCAATTTGAAAGTTCAAGGGGTTCTGCAGGGGGTTGTGATCATGCCATCCGAAAGGGCCGGGCCCGGTATCACAACACAGTGAAAAGGCGTCCGACTGCCGGCGACCCCACACTCGGATCCTGGACCGACCGGCCCCGGATGCCGCTGTGCAAGGCATTAGTTTGCAAGAGTCGGATCACCCAGTGAGACCGTCTTGCGAGGCCGAGGCGAATGGACCATCCAGCGCTGCCGTTTCCCGAAGTTGCAACTGACACGGTCACTGAGTGACCGACAGTTGTTCCGAAGTTCGCCGAGCGATGCCTCGGAGGCGGGCCGCCGGCTCGGGCATTTCCGGGTTTTTTTCATGCCCGGCCGCACCGGGCACTGATAACGCGGCGACACGTCAATCAGGAGCTTTCAGGGGCAGGTTCAGCAAGGGATTCACATAGAAACATGTCTAACTAGAAGTTAAAGTCACGAGGCAGCAGTTCGTCGACTGCGGATCACCAGGTAGGCGGTAAGAAGCGCTGCCGCAGCGCAGACTCCAACGAGGCTCAGGCTGGTCGCGGAAGGAAATGAAGTCTCGGGTGCCGGCCTAGCTTGCGGTTCTGTATCCTCAGAGGTTGGAGCAGACTTGCTTTTTGTCTTCTTTCGCTTCTTCTTCTTCTTCTTCGCTTCGGCGGAGGACGGCACCTGTTCCTCTGTCTCCTTCACCTCCTCCACCTCCTCCGGATTTGCGACTTTCGGAGCAGGCGCCACACTCTTCGCCTGCTCGTTCTTTACACGCCGGGACTGTTGGCTGCCTTGCCTGCTCCCCCTCTTCAAGTTTGACACCAGCTCGCGCGTGTTGAGCGCCGAGGCCTCTGGCATGCTGGTTGACAGGGCGTTGTCCGGCAGATCAGCCAGCCAGTCAGGCAACGGGTCGATCACCATCTTGTCTGCGTGCTCAGCGAACCTTTCCTTCCAAAGGAGAGGGACGTTGTACATATCTCGAAGTTGCAGCAGCATCTGGCGCTGAACTACGGTGTCGTACTCCAAGGTGATGGCTTCGGTGAACAGCTCACGTGCCTCCACGAAGTCCATTCGAGACTTCCCAGCGTCACCCTGCACCACAGCTCGCGACTGCAGGGCGAGCGACAGGATGGTCAGCGCCTCGGTGCTTCGCTCGATCTCGAGACAATTTCTCAGCCGGGTTATCGCCTGCTCCACCAACTGTGTCGAGTTACCCACGTCATACTGTGAGAGCTCAAGCAGGGAACGCGCGTACGACTTGAGCAGGTTCGGGTCCTCGGGGCTCTTCTTCAGCTTCAGCTCTAGCGCAGCGTGCTGCTCCTGCACCATCTGCACGTACTCCTGCAACTGCTCCTCCTGAGTCTTCCCCTGCATCCGCTTTGCTGTTTCTTGCACATTCGCTCGCTCCTCGTACGCATTCTCCGGTGTCGCGATGACGCCAATGTGCGGGTATCGCTTTGCCCCCTTGCTGAAGCACAGCTTGCACTTGGAGAAGTACTGCTCAGCCTGCTTGTCGTCCTCCTCGTACAGGAAGTTGATGTAAAAGACACTGCCAAGCTGAAAGCAACAGTAAGCAAGCATGCAAGCGCCCGTGCACAGCTAGATCACAGCTCACCTGAAATATTGCATAGTCTCCGTTAGAGGTCATCGCATCCGGGTTGATCTTCATCGCCTTGTTGAGCTTGTCCCTCGACTCGCGCAGCATCTCCTTCTTCCTCTTTATGTCGCCCTCTGCCATTGCAAGATACGTGAGGGTACAACCCCATTCTACCAGCGCCGAATCGTTGTCGGGATCCCTCTTGTGTGCAGCCTTGCAGTAATCCACCTTTGACTTGAGAACGTTGATGTATTCCTCCTCTCCCTCCTGCATCCTTGTGCCCAATTGAGCGTTCATGTTGTCGCGCTTGTCGATTCACACGACTCTCTTATCTCATCCAACCAGTACTGCAAGCAGGTGTGAGGGAAACAACAAGGAAACCCTTCCAACCCTTCCTCCTCTCTCTTTCTGGCGACGTAACAGCGCACTTCTACAAAACACATCTTGTTCGACAAAGTGAAACTTGCAAAACTTGTAAAACTCAGAAACCTGGAACCTCCTCTCGACACACTCTTGTATTCACTCTTCTTCCTCGTTCTCTCATCACGGCTCGTTCTGCATCTTCATTCTCTCCTCCTCCTCTTCTTCCTCCTCTTCCTCCTCTTCGTTGCGTCCGCATTGCCTGCGATCAATGTCCCCGCATGCAGCTATAAGGACAACACCCTCTCCAACAGTTTTTTTTTATATACTACCCCACCACCTTTTGACCTCAAAAAGAATTGAAAAATAGGGGTACTTATAATCTCCTCCCTTAAATTTTTTTGAAAGCACAGTTGAACAGCGGGGATGAGGGCCTTGCATACTCAATGACCAGGGGGTTAGGGTACCTACCCCTACTTACTTTTTAAGCTTCGTACCCCCCTTGTGGACGGATACAAAGGGGTACAACGCTACTGGTGTTCTGTGTATAGTCTACTGTGGGTAGTAATGAAAGGGGGGTACGTTTCGTGGGGGTGGTGATGTCCTTCTTCAACCGTAGGGTGGGGTAGTGGCAACTTGAACCAACTGACGGCGAGTGAAATGCAGTGGTGGAGAAGAGGAAAGGAGAAGATGCTGATGCTGATGATGACGATGGCGAACAAAATGGAGGGAAATTTATGATTTACAATGTCTAGGATGATAATAGTAGTGATGATACGGCTGTGGATGATGTGTGTTGAAGAAAGACCATGGAAGAGGAAGAGGAAGTGGACTAAAAGAGAGAGGAGTGAAGTGAAGGGATGCAGACTGTGGAGCGAGGGGGATTTGTGAGGATGACACCGAAGAAAGTGATAAGTGAAGAAAGTTTCACGCAATGAACATGGGAAGAGAGAAGAATCAGACGTAGCACTGCGGGAACGTGAGTTCCCCCATGTTGAGAGGTCAACGGGTTGTGTTGGGCGCAGGTTGATGTGAAGGGGCGGTATGAGGAAGGCAAGGCACGAGTAATACGAGGCAGACGCGAGGAAAGTGGGAGACGCCGCCATGGAGTGATCTGGTACAAGAGAGTTCGATACCTGCACAAGAGTCGATTCATTCGAGATATGTATAAGTGATCGATGCCATTGTGACTGGTTGGCTCGCAGGTTTTCCTAGCGGCGTCACTGGCAGGTTCCTGCAAACATGCAGATCTTCATTCGTAACTTGCATGGCGTTTCGCTCCCCCTCCGAGTCTGTGAGGACGACAGCATCGCGCGGGTGAAGCAGCAGCTAGAAGAGCGTGAAGAGGTATCGTGGGATGAACAGAGGCTGGTGTACAACGGATACGAACTAGAGGACGAGACCCTACTGAGCGAACTTGAGCTCGTGCCCGGCTGTACCCTCAGTCTGCACGCGTCGCTCAGAGGAGGTATGCCGAAGAAGAAGGGAGGGAAGAAGGGAGGAAAGAAGGGAGGGAAGGAGGGGAAGGGAGAGAAGGGAGCGGCGGAGGACGACGGGCTGGAGGGACAAAGCGTGGAGGAGCTGAAGGGTCAGATCCATGACATGAAGGATGGGCTGAGGAAGGAGATGGAGGAGCGAAACTACTTCCAGCTGGAGCGAGACAAGATCAACACTTTCTGGGAGATTACCAAGAAGGAGCTGGAGGAGAAGAAAGCGGAGCTGAGGAACAAGGATAGGGAAATGGAGGAGATGGAGGAGAGACATCAGGTGGAGATCAAAGTGTACAAGCAGAAGGTGAAGCACTTGCTGTACGAGCACCAGAACAGCATCACTCAGCTGAAGACGGACCTGGAGATGGCGACGAAGCTGCTGCAGGACGAGCACAGAAACAGGGAGAAGGAGCTGAAAGACGACAAGAGGAGCCTGAAGCTCGAGCTGAAGGAGCTCGAGCTTGCGCATGAAGACTTTGTGCGGAACTTGAAGGAGTCGCACGACAAGCAGATCACGCACCTCCGGTCAGAGTTCGAGCAGCAGGCGAAGGAGCTGCAGGGGAAGTACGAGAAGAAGATGAAGAATCTGCGAGAAGAGCTGGTGATGATGATGATGATGATGGGGAGGAGGAGGAACTGACAACTTGTTGCAGGAGGGGAGGAGGAAACTAGAGATTCATGAGGTGGAGGAGAGGAAGAATTTTCATATCAACGAGCTGATGAAGAAGCATGAGAAAGCATTCGGGTAAGGGATGAAGAAGAGAGTGGAGGGAGAAGAATAATGATGGCTTTTGTTGTCCTCCTTCTCATTTTCGCACCATTCTTCTCTTTTCCATCCCTTGTCCTTGTCATTATTCGTCTTTGTTGAGAGATGCAGAGTTTGAGCAGGAAGGAGAAGTGAAGAACGATTGTTTCAATCCTGATCGACTTTTCTCCTCAGCGAGATCAAGAATTATTACAATGACATCACGCACAACAATCTGGATCTTATCAAGTCTCTCAAGGAGGAAGTTGCAGACATGAAGAAGAAGGAAGCCACAAACGAGAAGCTCATGTGACATGCTGTGTTCACAACCTTTCGTCTGCGATGACTCTGTTGTCCCCCAAGGTTTGAGATCGCACAGGAGAACAAGAGATTGTCCGAGCCACTCACAAGAGCTCTCAAGGAGGTGAGGGAGATGTGATGTGATGTGATGTGATGTGATGTGATGTGATGTGATGTGATGTGATGTGATGTGATGTGACGTGATGTGATGTGATGTGCAGTATGCACTCTCGACAGATCTGATGACAACACTTCAGGTTGAGCTTCTTCGTCACGAGTTGTCAAACTACGACAAGGACAAACTTTCTCTCCAGGTGAGTCTGATGGCAGAAGACTTATATCCTCCCTCCTCACTTCTCCTTCCTCCCTCC